TCCAGTGATGGACATACACTCCCACATGCCCAGACACATACCTGCAGTTACAACAACTCTGATGAGGAACCGAATTTATAGATAAGTGTACATAGGCATATACACACAACAGAAATGCACCACACACGCGCACACACAAACAAAGTATTACATTCACTGAATAGGCTACAGACAACATCACACAAACACAAACACACATGATTACCTACCCCATCCCCGTTGCCTGCAGCTGTATGTAAAGGCTGAGTCTCTTCACTGAACTGTTCGGCCCTATTTAAAGAACTACAACTCCCATGTACCTGCACAACAAACAGGAAAGAAGCTACGAAAAAACTTCACCATGCAAAACAGGAGGAGCTGCTGCTCACCGTGTATGTTGGGGATCACCAGTGGGTTGACAGTGTCAGTATGACGTGGCTGTGTCGGTGGTGTATGTTGTGTCGGGCGGGGTCGATGTGTTCGCAAGGGGGATGGGGGTGAGAGTGGCAATCAGGGGTGGGGGCGTTAAAGACGTGTACGCTTCTCTTTCCTGTTTGCATCCCGAAACAGGAAGTGGATAGGTTGATTTTATAGAGTTGCGGATATGACTGCCTGATTGTGGGCACATGCTTTAACATGTAAATGTTAATGCGGTTGTATTGGAAAATGTGTTTCCGTTTGCAAACACAAGCTGACCATCAGCCAGGCAACAGCAAGATTTTTTTATTATTTTGATGTGCGGTGTGGTATCTGTTGCTGAGAGATGTGTGGAGATAATCTCAGTTGCAGTCTAATCTGAGCCCTCACTGTCCTCTTCTTCTCGGGAGGAGATTCCCGTTTGCTTTTGTAGCACTACACTGTACCCATCCTCCACAGGCCAAGTGGAGGTCTCCCTCATCTCCCCCAGAAACCCTCTGGTCCCAGGCCAGCTAGCTCTCGGGAAAGACTTGAAACTGGGTCCGGATTAGATCTGTAGCGAGTGTTTATCCCGACCTGTTGCGTGTAAATAGGTTACCTAGAGAGGTTTTATTGCACATGTGATGCATATACGGTCACAAGATGCAAGATGCAGTATAGCGGACGTACTATGCTTTATGTATGAGAGGGAGCCGGGGGGAGTTGAAATGTGAAGTCATGCTCCATTCATTCTCTTTCTACATCCTCCTTTCTTCCCGTGTTGCCGGCTGCTACCAAACAGCAGTGAAGGCCGTGAATCTCTGGCCTGAAAAGCAGGAAATAATATTTCACAGGGAAACCGATTCTTCTTGTTAAGGCAGCAGCCACAAGAACAACAACAAGTCAGAAGAAAAGGTCTTTGTAAAGCATTTATATTAACGCATCAGTGCATGCAGAGTTAAGTTCTTTGATAATAATGTGAAGATTATATTTGTGCTCTGTGTTTCACTATGGTAGGATTTTTTTTTGTTTTGTTTTTTCTGGTTAATATAAATGAACTGAGGAATAATGAATAAATTATTTTGTACATAATGTTAATTTAACTTATTTTTTGTATTCATTTTGTGTTATATTTTCTTGTTTTTTTCATGTTTTTTCTTTTTCACAACCTGTGTATCCGGTTTCTTTCGACGCTGTACAGAATGAGGGTACGCTTCTATTCAAAGTGTCAAGTCCACGTTCTCTCCTCTCTTCTTCGTCGGTGTACAGGAGTTGTTTTTAACGATTGATATGAATAACGATAAACAAATATTAAACTCGCATTGATGAATGACCATTCTATATACAGAGGCACAGGCATTCAGGCAGCCAAAAGCATGATTGCATGGTTAAAATGTGTGCTGTTTAAAGCAAAGAGCAGCAAGACACATTTTAACAGAAGAGCTGGCGTGTTGCCGTCACAATTTAAAGGAAAAAAAAGTGTACTCTCTCTGATTATAATTCTTGATGATTCCTCTTGTTATTTGATGATATTTATGATTCTATGATTATTATGATTCTATTTATTATGGACATTATTCTTAATATTTAAGCTCTCTCTATCTCTCTCTCTCTCTCTCTCTCTCTCTCTCTCTCTCTCTCTGCTGGTTGCTCTTCATGTTGCGTTTCTCCTTGGTTGGTCTTGTTGTGCTTCTTTGGGAGAGGTGAACCCCCCCTGGGGGACCCTGTGCCATAGAAATTGTGCCACGGTTCTAACTTTCTCTCTCTCTCTCTCTCTCTCTCTCTCTCTCTCTCTCTCTCTCTCTTTCTGTTCTGACTCCCCAGTCACTAACACTGTAAGCATGCCCCATGGGACAATCCACTTTTTTACTCTTGAATAAAATATGCATGAACCTTTGGTATGCATACCGAGCCTTTATTTCGTTACCACTGCGCATGGACACACACGGCCACAAATGAGTTTACAAAAGAACCGTCCTGATGATAAGAAATGCTTCATCAAAAGTGGTTCTTGATATACAGTTGCCAAATCTCAGCAGAACATGCTTATAGAAAAGAATGATAACCTTGTGCAGCAGGATTTAGTCTTTTCCCCCAAAATGTCCTGCCCAGGAAATCAACTTGTGACCCCTTCAATTCATTTGACTTCCTGTGGGGGTCCCAAACCCCAGCTTGGGAAACACTGCAGTAAGTAACATTTTCTTTTGCAATCTTCCTTTAACACTGAGGCAGTCACTGCAACTGGTTTAGCTTTGACTTGATATAGAAAAGATTTCACATAGAAGAGTAATTACTGGAAGAGCCAGTAATCAGATGGAGCAACTTTCTCTTTCATTATGTGGTTTCACTGAAGTGAAACTGGGCTGCGTCACATATGTTGAGCAACATCTACAGATGAGTAGCTGAATAAATATGATAAAGATGAAAACCCCCCAGCATAACCCCATGGAACCAAGAACATGTTCGACTAGCCATTAGCCAAAATATGTAAAATAGAAATAAAAAACTAAATCACAAAAGTTCACATTTTATTGAGTTATTTATATTTTCTGTAAATTGTATCTCCCTACAGGTATATGCAAATTCTGGTTAATAATACAGAATTCATCTTGAACGTATCAGATTTTTCTTGCATCTATTAAATCAAGTCTAAAAATGTTCAAATAACCTTTAAAAAAAACAGTCAAGTAATATGTGTGTAATAGTATAATTGTAAGCTCCTCTTCATGTCTTTTTTTACCGGCCAAAATATTACCACGGACATAGTCTCACATGGCCAGAGACCTAAGGACATGACCTCTGTGTCCTCCATAGGTATAAAAGAAGGGGTGTCCTCCATGTCCACATTACTCCATTTCCATTTGAAAACGCATATGTTTTGCTACGTTTACACTGAGTGTCCACACTACGCCGGAGTTTTAGAGCATTGTAAACGGATAAGTTTGAAAACGCTCCCGAGGTCGGATGAGTTTGAAAACTCTGGGGTTGCGTTTTCGTGTGGACGGCCGAAACCGGATAAGTTTAGAAACGATGACGCCCACACCCGCGTTCTCTACTTGATTGGTTCTTAGCAGTCATGACGCGTCCTTCCCTGATTCGTCACATGTCTATCACGTGACCCTTACCCGGAAGCTCACAAACGACAACATTGAATACCGATCGACTACCAGGTTAATTTAACATGGACAACTGATTACAGGCGATGCTGACCTTGTTGTCTTTACTAGCAGCTGTTGTTCAGTAAAAGTCTGCAGTATTACGGAGGAAGCAGCTGTTAATGGAGCGATTAGTGACCGGCGTGTCCAGTGGTGTTATCAGCCCTACAGAGCAGCCGTCTGAAGTCGCGGTTAGCAGTAAATGCTCTTCAGTAGGACAGATAGTTAAGCCACCAGCAGAGCTACGAGTGAGAACAGACAACAACATGGAGGAAACGAGTGAGAGACGTGTGTTGACCACATTTATGGACCCATAATCTAGCAAACTGTTACGTGTCAGTGTTGATTTTAAAGTAAATTTGATATGTGAGAGAGAGAGAGAGAGAGAGAGAGAGAGAAAGAGAAAGACCTGCAGCGCTGTAACTAAGTCTGAAAAATAAAACTTCTAAAACTTTCCACGAACTGTGTCTGTTTGGAATATTTTAGAGGAAGATCTTAAGTATCAAACACGACCTTTCATTATTAAAGACTGCTTTATTACTCTGTCGTATTTTTTAAAACTAAGCAGCCAATCTACTTCCTGTTTACATCGACACCCACGCACATGCCCAGTGTACGTCAAGAGTCACGTGATATTCGTTTTCAGGCGTGTTAGTCTGGACGGAGATCATTTCAAAAACGATGCTGAAACGCTGTGTGGACGGAGATCGTTTTTGTTTGAAAACTCCGTTTACGTTCAGAAACAGAGTGGTGTGGATGTACTCTCAGTGAGGTAACGTTAGCCTAGAGGTCGACCAGGGATACTTGACTTTTGCATTTGCAAGGGGGTACTTGGAAAGCTTGTGGAATGGCTTAATTAAGTGTAAAAATAGGAATTACAATTATGGAGTCAGCTGTTATGAACGTCACGTGTTGCAGTCGAGAGTGCATCAAAACCGACGTTAGCCTAGTTAGCAAGAGTGTTCAGAGAAGTTGAAACAGTTAGCTTGCTAAAGAATTAACTTGATGTCAAAACAGTTCAAATGATCTAAAAGTAGTAAATGGATGAACTGTTGAAATTGTTTGCTAAAAAAACATCTATATAGAAGTAATGGACAAATGGTGAAAAAATGCAAAATAATGTTTGTTAATTTTACAAACAGTTAAATAGATCATGTTAGCTAGCGCTATCTAAAAGTGATGGATGTCCAGCTTATCCTGTTGTAGCGTGTAGGTATGCAAACCGACCTAAACATTAGTTAAATTGTATGAAATAAATATTGTTACGATAAACACTTAATAAATATATGTATAAATAATATTGTATATATATATATTTATTAAAATATATATTTATAATATAAATATATAAAAAACAATATACAGTTTAAAATAAATTGAAACCAGCGGAAATTGCGGGTGCTGTCCATCACGGAGTCTGGGAGTGGCCGTAGAGAGAAAGAAATACATAACTTTAAATTGAGGCCACAATTTACCAATGGATGTGCACCGGTCATAAGTCATGACCTCAATTTAATTGAATCATTCCTGTTTTTTTTACTCATTTCCCCCATCTGTGTATTGCTGGTTTTTACTTTCATATCCAAATGGCTCAACAAAGACAGCTGGGAAAATATCTGCACCTTATATTGTGAAAGAATTGAAAGTTAAACAATCCATTTTCATTATAAAAATATTAATAGTTGCATATTGAGTACTTCCTCTTTCATGAGCATTTCCTCTAATCTCTGCCTCCTCCCACTCCCTATCTTTACCGAGATCTTTGGGTAGTTTAACTTTAATCGAAAGTGAAAGTGTTGGCTGATGACTAAAGGGAGTGGAGAGAGAGGAGAGGCAGAAGGAGAACAGAAGACAAAGGAAATCTCTCTTATCTGGATCACAGCTAACACACCATGGTGAGTCCCTTCATACATTCATTCTCTTGTCTAGTTTTAAAATGCACTTTGGATGGAAATTAGGCATCATCACTGACAGAGATCAACATGTTTGTGGTAAAATAAGAACTTTCTGGAAACCTCACTGCTTCGTATTAAACTGTCTCATCCTCAGAGAGAACACACATCGAGTTAATACAGCTTTTGTATAAATTGTATCCAAAAAAAGTAAGCATAAGCAGATTGTCTGGTTTTAGAAAAAGAAAAAGAACATTTTAGAAGAACATCTTCTAAAAGTCAATTTAACCCCGAATCACAGATTTACCTCAGAGGCCTTTACAATCTGCCTCTGTCCTTTTCCACCCTTGAATTGGATAAGGAAAACCTACCTTAACAAACCCCTTTAACGGGTCCAAAACTTGAAGAAACCTCAGGACGAGCAACTGAGAAGGGATCACTATCTCAGGACGAACAGACCTGCAATATACGTATGTTGTGCGTACAGAATAGACCAACACAATTAAATTACAATATAGACAATCCACATGACAAAATTCATACATATAATGTGAAAATTCGCCAAACACAACCTCCTCTCCGTCATATAACCTGAGACAAGGAGAGGCTACACAAATACACAAGCAGCAATCTTATGTCACACAAAGAGAATTAAACAATCACACAGAGAGAGAGAGAGAGAGAGAGAGAGAGAGACAGAGAGAGAGAGAGAGAGAGAGAGAGAGAGAATATGTTAAGAACATGTATACACATGCAAATACAGGCAGTCAGACTCTTTCAAAGCCTTTCAAAGGTAGAATCACATTTCTCTTTACTACATTGAACCTTTGTGTAATTTTTCAGACTAATCTGGCAACACTCCTCTCCTATTGCACAGCAACTGTGTGTCTATTAAGAGATGATGGGGGAAAAACAGGTTGCTGGGACTGAGCCTGTTGCGCACCGTATATTTCCCAACACAAATTTCAGTCCACAGAGAGTAGAGAAGCCCAGTGCAATTCAGACTTCCTCCTTGCTTTCTTTTTATTTATTGACTGTCGTGTGCATATTAGTTTAGACTTCATTGAACAGCGTTCTGGGTGAACTGGCCCTTTGCACTGAGAGATAGACACATCTGGTTTCATGAAAAGCGCTCTCTGACACTGGGTGACTGAACCCCTCAGATGCTTCGCCTCCAGCACCAGGACGCTCTCATCCCTCGGCCTCGAGGGACTTTGCCCAAGGTGTGTGCTGTGGCGCTGGCTGCCATGACAACGGGAGGCGTCGTGTTTCTGTCTCCTGAAAGGTTGTTTGGATGGGTTGCCATGGCAATCCTCATCCTGACCCTCGGCCCTCTGCTGCACGGGCTCTGTCTGCTGGCAGAGGAGATGTTGCACCATTCAAATACCAGGTGAGAAAAAACGGTTTGGTCCATCAGTTGTGCGTGTTTTAGTGTGTTTTTATTAAGATTTAGAATAAATAACGGTTGTACATTTCAGCCGCTCTGTATTGCTCTCATATAGCAGTCACAGCTGATTACGCCGTCCCGACCAATAGCGCACCTCGTATTATACACCTTTCATAGAAGTTAACCTGACACGCATTGGAATTGTTTGGAAAAAGGCAGACACTTACAAAAAGTACTTTTAGGTGATTGGATCAAGCCTCTGGCTTTCAAACAAAACGCATTACTCAATCAGACAAGATGGACCTTCATATGATATGTGACCCCGGATCTTAACATTATCCCGTGACATCGTGAGAATCCAGCTGCTGTGCATCAAATGACTGTAATGTAAAAGACGTCCCTCATAGTGACGAACCCACAGAGTATCATCACCTGACTGCAGTTCCCCTCCAGCTCTACGGAGTGTTTGACTGTCTTTCAGCTCAGTGTTTTGGTTTTACAGCACGCAGCTTTACTGTTTTTTATGTTCAACACTCTCATTAGCACCATTTCCAGCCACAGTATGCAGCTGTTTTTGGTGAAAAACTTTAAAAATCCCACTGTACACTACCGATGTCAAGATTGATCTCAGTAACAGTATGTTTTAATATGTCATTTCATCCTCTCTAAATAAATGAAATGTTTCACTGATGTTAAAATGCTAAACTGAGACACGGTAACGGGGTCAACAGTATCCTCCCTGTCTTTACCAGGTATAGAGGCCGGAGGCTGCTGAGCCACATGCTGCCAGCCTGTGGTTTTGGGGGAAAGACCCTGCTGGCTGCTGGGCTGGCAGGCCTGCTGCTCTACCTGGCCGGACATCCTCTGCCACACAAAGGTCAATGCTGGAAACTCCTCATCCTGACCTCGGTCCTTTACGCTCTGTTCAAAAGCCTGGGAGTCCTGGTGAGGTCCACACCAGACACACAAACACCACTGTCTTTGTTCATCTGGGGTATTTCTCTTCCTCTACACTGAAAGATCTTTAACAGCATGTTTTAGGAATTCGTAGTAAAGTCATTTTCAGCGAACAGGCCACAACATACAAAAACACAGTTTGAGCCCTTTTAATTAGCATGTAAACATCTCTTAATGTACTTAAGGAGTAGACATCTGGGGCATCTTAACCTTGTTAGTGCAAACACTTTAGCAACTACTAGAAACCGATTTCAGGACAGTGTTACAAAAAAATACTCTATGTAACTAATTTAGCAGTGTCGGTGTCAGTTTCTGTCTCACTGCCGTCACCGTCCCAGAATAAAAAAGTCTCTGATGTGGCATTCAAAAAAAAAAAAAAATCAAAGAGAGTTTTGAGAAGGTGAACGTTCAATACTGTCACACACAGTCAGAAGTGAGAGACCGGCATTTGTACAACACCTTGTCTCAGATGTTGCTCACAGACGGAGCTTCGCTATCGAGTCATTTATCCATAAACAAGTCAGGTGAGCACTCCTACGGAGGCCCAGTAATTATGTGAAATTATGTTTTGACCTATCATCGGCCCTGAAGTGGGTATCCTTAAACTGCCTTCCTGTTTACCTGCACCCACACAACAGAGGTGGAGACTACAATTCACTTTACTGACTCCAGCAGCTTTGAGAAGTTCAGTTCAAAGAGTTGTAGCCAGTGATAATGATTTTTTCTTTTTCTAAGCTTCACTGTTTAAATTCACTTCAGTGCATCAATAAGTCCCGTCGGTTGCTGGCAGCAGTGATGTTCAGTTCAGTAAAAAAAAACAGACCACATATACAGGCACTGTTTATGAGGGTTATAGCTAAGCAGACAACTATTTTTAACAGTTATCACATCATGATAGACTTTGGTTTTCTTTCAATAGGGAACTAAAGTACTCCAGAGAGCTCCACGGCTGAAAGCTACTGATCCTTTCAGTGACACGGTGGTGATTCAGTACTCAGTTTAAGGTTTGAGTGTTAAAGATTTGTACGTACATGTACCGAACACCTCTACCACTCACCCAACACAGCCCTCCGAAAGCCAGCTAACACCAGGGTCGGGTAGTAAAGAATCACATGTAATCAGGATCACGTAATCAGATTACAAAGAATAAGTACTGTAACTATCATCAGCCTAGATTGCATTTGAAAAAATCTGATTATAGTTACATTGGCAAGTTCTCTCTATACATCCATGCTAACAACGCATTAAGCTTACTACAAGTCGACTGAACACTTGATATAGTCAAACAAGTGTAACTGTAACAGAGAGCTCTGTACTTTAGTTAAAAAGCTCCTCCTGTCCTGGACAACTGGAAAAGCAGTGCAGAGGGATTTTCTCTCTCTTTTCACAATCCTGATTAATTTAGATCATTGATTTTATTACAACAGTTATCAATTGAGAGCTTATATATTGTTACAGCTCAGAGCGCCGTGGTAGAAGTGACAAATAGCCCCATTTTAACATAAGAGAACTACACTTGAGACAGAACAGTCCCTAAGTAAGAACACTTCCTCAAGCATCAGTTGATTGTAATTGATGTGGCATTTCTGGAGTAAAAATAGGCTCCAAATATGTCTTCATCAGCAACAATGACCGTAACACTGTCCTCAAAGAATCGCTGTATACTTCTGAAGAAAGTGCACCGTTTCCTCAGACTCATGAGAGAAACTACCGGGATTATAGATTAAAATCCAGCTCAAGTCTGGGGGGTAGCTCTCCTATAGAATTATATATAAATATATTCTGCCCACACAGAGTTGGGTCAAGTTACTGAATTCAAATTATATGGCAATTAATAATACAAAAGAAGAAGTTATCTAATCTGAATACTTCTGGATTACTTCAAAACAAAACATTATTGCAGTTTATAGGGTAAACAAATGAATAATTGGACACAACCACAAACACATCAAAACATTTTCAGTGCAAATAAAATGCAGTTAGCATATTTAACATTTACAATTTATCAAATCAAATGACCGTCACAAAAACAGTACAGGTGTACTATGTGTGTTCTACATGTGGGATGCTGTTTCTCAGATGTATGTCCTTTAATCAAAGTCCACATGGAGGACTTTGCTCGTGTAACGCGAGAGGAGCATTTACTCAAAATTGTCATCGTCCATTTTCAATGTGAATTAAAGGGAATAAAAACTAAAAACAATATTAGTTAAGTCGCCATTAACAAACAGGCAACCTGAGAGAAACAACTTACTTTTATATACAGTGGAACGTTTTTATTTAGAACATTTAGAATTGTTAAAATCAATCATGAATTATCAATCATTGCCAAAGACGAAGACATGCTGGAATCCTTTTAATGTAACTATATAATGTCATATATTATATATAATATCTTTTAATAATCTAATCGGGGTTGATCATAGATGCTTTTTTTGTAATCTGATTACGTAATCCTAATTACATAGGAAAGGGCAGCAGGGGTGCAATGATGCCCTTTCCTGAGGCAGCTCCTGAGCAGAGGTGAGGTGTATTGACATCCTCCTGGCTGTTTCTGTGGTTGGTGTGCAGGGTCCGTCGGAGGTGGAGGTGTCTGACATCTGCGAGGTCAGGAAGATGAACGTGGCCCACGGCCTGGCCTGGTCCTTCTACCTGGGCTACCTGCGACTGGTGCTGCCACGTCAGTAACATCAAAACACACACCTCCTTATGTTTGTGATTACACTCGATCATTTGTATACCAGTTCGTGGTACTTGTACAATATAATCAATTTAAATGTATATACGGTCTCTGCCTGTTTTTAAGATGAGCTGTCACTTGTGCCACACAATCCTCAAATATTCATTTTAGGGGATACTTGAGTTGTATTCTCTGTCCTTTGTGGTTTATAGGGACATAATAACGCATCTTGCACCGCATTCTAGTGATTCTAGAGATCTGAATGAATGTGTGTGTGTGTGTGTGTGTGTGTCCCTTCAGGTTTAGAGGACTCCATCAAAGCATTTCGTGAAACCCATAAGGCCTTCTGTGGTCGTGGCTCCAGGAAGCTCCTCATCCTCATACCTCTCAACACCAACATTTCTCACAAGCTGGAGGAAGAGGACGACCACATCCAATTCTATGACAACCTGCACAACAACGAGATAGACAGGGCAGGCGTCCAGGGGCGGGTCTACAAGCACAGCGTCTACAGCGTATTGGACAAGCATGGGGAGGTAAAGCAATAGTTACAGAATGACACTGAAGTGCTTACACACATTAAATAATAGCTGTATACCAACCATCCATTCTCTGTAGTTTTAAGAGTCAAAGGTGGCTGAACAAATATCCCATCATGCATTTGGGTAAAAGAGAAAGGGGAAAAAAAACTGACAGATCTGTATACTTTTACTATTTTACGCTATAGATCTTAAATTGAGTTGCAAACTGATGAAGGTACCCTTTTACATTTTAAGCAGATAATCAATAATCAGATTATATTCAGAAATGTCTCTCAGGTGCACAGCACGAAATGAAATGAGGTAATCAGAGAACCTGCAGTGTGAATGCCACTGAGCTCCAACTCGGTGTCTGTCTCCTTATTGCCAGTGTGAGTTGAAAGACTTAGCGTGCCGAGATCTTCTCCTTTGATCAGATTTGTAAAGACTGCACAGCAAAAATGCAACAGAGCGAGAGAGAGAGAGAGTCACAGTAAAGTGACAGACTCAAGGGGCTGTTTCTGTATATTTTCTTCAATATTTCATGATAGCGCGTCAATGTGCTCCATATTCAACATGTTTGATGTGGCAAATCTAAGAGCGATTGTACTCAAAACCACCTCTGTAGTTTAGTCGGGGGAAAGGAAGTTTGGGACGCATGAAAGCCGTCTGAGTTTCAAGTGAGACCAGAAATAGCCACCAATTATATCAAAGTGATTGCCAGAATGGTGTTATGGCTGTGTTTTACAGTTGCAGTCACCACACAGAATAAGGTGATGATGAATGTTTGAACTTTGACCCCTGTAAATAGCACTGCTATAAGGAATGCTTCACTCACGAAATGACTATTTGGATATAAATCACTCACCGAGTGTTAACTTGAATTCTTGAAGAAAACTCTGTTTTTCTCGCGTTCCTCTGCGGTGAACGGAGAACCTGAAGACGTATTAAAGCCTTGATGAATAGAACAAAATGTAGGCCAGGTTTAAATATATCAAATCTTACTATTTTAAATATTTCCGTCATTACAGTCTCATGAGTCCGTGTGTGAGACGAAAGTGGAGGAAAGTGTTTTAAACAGTAAGAGTTTGGTGTTTGGCAAGAATATATAATGACGTAGATAACACGTAGCCTATCACTACTTTGAATACTATAAAGTGAGACTATGTGACTTTTGAAAGTTGAGGGAAATGGTCTGAGCCTGATGTGTAAACTAATATAAGTTACTAAACCCTGACTGCTGTACTGTTAAGACTGATAGCTTTAAATGTATTGATCAATTTAATTGATTAGAATTTATTTCCACTCTAAACATAACACCGAATAAGACTTTTTTGACCTGTTGTCTTAAACATAAATCTGAGACTTTTCAACACAGACAGTTTGTACTTTGAAATCCAAAAACAGAAAACAAGCAACTGAGAATAGTAAATCACCTCCAGCATGCTGCTTCCCTTCCACAGCACAGCATGACCACCACCTGCTGGTTAAACCTGAGAACTCACCAGTGGAGATCTGCTTTAGTAAAGCGTAGTAACAGCACCATCTACATGTAAAACATGGCAATCAAACCTTTCTGGTGCCAGAGTTCCACAAGCTTTTAAAGGATTATTTGTCCATGTAATGTATCTATCTCTCAGTGCCTGTGCGTGTGTGTGTGTGTGTGTGTGTGTGTGTGTGTGTGTGTGTGTGTGTGTAAACAGGCCCATCAGTGTGTGGTGGAGTATGCAACGCCTCTGCTGACGCTGCACAGCATGTCCCAGGAGAGCAGCGCTGGTTTCGGGGAGCCTGAGCGCCGACAGCAGGTCCTGCTCTTCTACAGGACCCTGCAGGAAATACTGGAGCACTCGCTGGAGTGTCGCAACCGCTACAAACTCATCCTGCTTAATGGTAGGAAGACAAGCCAAGTGTGTGTCTGTGTGTGTGAGTTAACTTTACACACACCTGGCGGCATGAGACAGACTGATTTAAGGGTGATTTCAGCTTTTAGCTCATCCGCTTCCCCACAAGGATTGACAATCAGTATTTGCGTATTTATCGATTATTTTGCTGTGTCTGTGTTTTTAGAAAAGGTTTTGTTGATACACACACACACACACATTATGCTGCACAGTGTGTGACTGAAATGACGGACGGAGGTCAGAGTATCCGTTACTTTTCTGGCTTTGGTCCAGTTGTCTCTGGCCTCGTGTGAACCTTTCATCTTTGCACTGGCAGCAAGAAACTCAATCCCAATGGGATTTTTAACAGAAGTGTGAGATCAGTACCGTCTTCACGTGGACTTTTGAAAAGGAGTGAGACAACGAAAATGATTAGATGCTGAAACCGGCCATAGATCGTGTCCTCTTCTTCTTCTAGATGAAGACGAGGACGACCCTCGCCTCCTGTCCAAAGCCATCCTCAGACACCTGCAGCAGCAGGAGAGAGAGGAGTTCTGCCTCACCCCACCTCCTCAACAGGAGATGGTGCACCCCCTGGCAAGAACATCGGGCGCCATGCCAACTGCTCCACCCATAGGTGGTAACTATAGATACCCTGAGCCAATGAGCAGGGAGCCTACGCTGATGTTCAGCCTGGATAAACCTCAGCCTCTGAAGGAACCTGTAGAGGACACCGACCACTACTGAGGACAAATATAAACACATGCTCAGGCATATATAACGTAAACACACACACGCATGTACACACACTGTTATACTTTATTCTTGTTACATACGCAGTTGATAGATTAGCGATATGAAAATTATAAACTGACTGTGTCTGAATTCATAGATATTAAATAAATGCAAATATTTGCTTTATTTGTTTGAGTTTATTTGATCTTTTCTATATTTCATTTCTTTGGTGAGCTACCGGAGACTCTGGGGAGCTGCTAGTCCTGACCAGTGACAGGAGGTACACACAATGTATTATCATTTTGATCAACATCGATAACAATTGTGAAAACCATCACAATATGTATTGACTTATCTTTCTATAAATGCGTGTAAATGGATGAATGGATCAGGCTGCGGCACTGAGATTCAAACAGTGTGTGTAGTGGAGACACCCTGAGGGTTTAGTTTGGAAGAGAGTTTGTTATCCTCCTTCCAGAAGGTGGTGTCCACTAGTCCTGCTGCTGCTACCAGTTGGTCCATTCAATAGTCTCAGACTCAAAGGACGGTCAGCATTTAGCGATGAAAAGATGTCTGCAGTTCACCTTTTAATATCACAACAAGGATCTTTTAAAGCGATGGGGACAGGAGGGTTAAGATGCAAATGTTTTGTGTATAATAAATATTTGAATTCATGCAAATATTGCCACAAATTATGCAAAGGTAATAAATGAGTTGAAGCAGTAAAAGCACAGATAGATTTAGGGCAGGAGAGCACTGACAGAGAGAGAACGGAGGAAGAGAAAGGTTTTATGATTGTATAAACAAAAGTTACAAGAAACCTGACACCGCACCTGCTTATCTGCGTCTCACATGAGCATGAGCACACACACACACACACACACACACCTCCTGACAGCAGCGCTGCAGCTGAAACTGGTGAGGTTGTATCAGATACAGTATGTTTACAGAGGAGTCATTCGATCCAAACATGTGATTTATGACGTGCAAATGTAGCATATGCAAATAAAGACAAAATAGAAATCAAACCATGGAGCGCAGTTTTAACCTTCCTGCTGATGACTGGTATCCACACAGGCCATGACCTGTGTTGAGGGGCCACAAGTAGACTTGGTTTGAAGTGGTCACAAGTCACAAAGTTGCTATATGGGAATTCAATGGATATTCAATATTCCGCAGTTAATTTGCTTCACTCCGGCCTACAGAAGCTGTAATATGCCGCATGTATTGGCTTTATACAGTTTAACACGTTCTGAACAAATTTCAGACACAGCTACTTTCAAGCAACTCGCAAGCCTTCAGTTAAAGCCATTCAGCATCCAGTCGTTGCCTTACGGAACGTTTTGTGGATGACAATCTCCTTTCATTTGGATACATTCATAAAAAAGTACTCGGCAGCGCACAATGCATAGGGGCACTCTAATTAGCAAATGCTAGCATGCTAATATGCTAACCTAAGATGGTGACCGTTGTAAATATTATACCTGCTTATCATCAGCTTTACAGAGCCTCTAGCGTGGCTGCTGACTCTTTGTCTTGTTGGAGTCATATCAAATATATGCCGTGTGAATAAGTCAATTATTCAGCTGGTCCATTCATTTTGACATATTTGAGTAATTTGTCAAGTAAAAAAACAAAAAACTAAACAACCCTGCTGTTTCTCAGTAGTGATGTGGGATTGGTTTCTTCTTTCCATTTTGTGTCACCGCTCAGCAGACCATAGTGTAATATGAGGTAGGTCTTTGTTGCAGGCAGCAGCATCATTGCATCTGTCAGTAACCTGTCCACTTCAGGCAGTTATTTCATCAGGCCACTGATAAGAATTAGTATTTTGACCCAGTTCCTTCCGTGTTAGATAAGGACTTCTAAAAAAACAAACAATACTCACTCTCTGATGCAGACATGTGAGTTTTAGTCATGGCTGCAGTGGCTGAGGGCTGTCAGAGACAGGTGGGACCTGTTCTCCACCAATACCACTACATCACAGGCAGGTGACATCAGCTGACACACTGATGTCACCTGCTGGAAACACAGATTATTGTTGTTACAAGTTTACCTTCTAACAGTGACTCATTGTTCCCTTAGTTTGTGTACATTAAAGTCAAGACATTTCGAACTGACAAATGTAGAGGGGATAGGTTTGTTCCACGGTTAAATATATATAACACTAGACTTGTGTTTCAGACTCAAGCCCAGAGTCAAAGGCACATTTTACCCACAGGCAATATTGGTGAGGTGGTGAGCACATACTGGCACTTCACTCCGTAGTTCCCCTTCAGCTCCACAGAAACGTCCTCCTCAGTGGTGAGTCTTTCTGATGGCAGCATTTTATCTGAACCTGATTGGTTAGCAGAAGTGATGTCACAGCAGTAAGATTTCTCCAGAAGGTGAGTCAAGCGTGAGAGGTTAACTTGTAAAAAAAAAAAAAAAAAAACTACCTTCCTGCTTAGTGCCTGCTGTCACGTCAGGCCAGTGGGGTGGACTTTAAGGTGAAGCAATGACTTCACTGTGAAACCTGACCGCCAGACACCGGCTGAAGAGAATGTTGATGTGACTATTTTCTCTGTAGCACTCTTCCCCACTATCAATCCACAACGCAAATAGATTTATCTTTCTATGTTTTAAATAATCATGTTCTCAGGTGTCCCAGATTAGTCACTGGGACAACATGTTCTCAACTTAACAATGTCGCCTGATACATATATACACTTTATTTAAGTAGTACACTCTAACAAAAGCAATTTACTATTAAGTAAAGTAAAGTAAATTAAATAAACTAAAATATAAAGATTACAATAGCTACTTAAAGTTAACAATAAAATCACTAATACAACTGATTGGGAGTCAGTGAAAGGCAGCTAAAACCAGTTTACATTTCCTTAATGAAGAAGTACAATGGTTACTATTATTTGTCAACCAGTTGGGGATCTAATTTGGGTGAATATGTTATGTGGCCGTAGGGGACGCATACATATTCAGAGAAAAAAAAAATAGTCCTGTGTTTAGTTTATACACGTCCGATGCTCCACCAGGTGTGTGTTTGTGTGTGAATGGCGTGTGTCAGAACCTGTTACTCACTTGTGAGTGAGGCAGGGCTCATGCCAGTATCTAGACCCGACATGCTCACACACACAAACACACGCTCACAGGAATTTGATGTGCATACACTGAGAGCAGGTCTGAGGGTTTGGTTTACTGGTAACTTACATTAAAACACACTAGCTAATGTGGCTTTTTAAGATCCAACCAGGAAGATCATTTGATGGAACTATTACAGCATATTTGTCAAAATAAAATCCAAAGTCTGATGTATGCATTACAGGTTTTTGTTTCACTAGGAAAACTGTAAAATTCCATAACAATGTATCAATGATATGTATATGAACTGATCAAAGTTCATTATTTTGCACTATGTCAACAAATTATTGTACATAAAATCATATTGTATATTTCCTCCACTGTTTCTTTTAAAGTTAGTTTCTCTTACTTAATCAACATTTCAGGCAGACTAAAGGTTAAACTCCACCTGTGGAAGATTGCCTTCAGCTTCAGTGTTGTTCCATTATTTTTCCTTCAGGCCTGAATCACATTCTGGAAACCTGACTCATACGTCATCCCATGGTTGTCAGGGGGGTTTGGTTTTGTGTTGTGGAGGACTGTAGATCAGCTCTCCCAGGTGGGTCACTTCTGACTGTCTGGGCTTCAGATTTAAAGATGATCACACTTTTCCCCCAGACTGAACAACACCCTCTCGGAGGAACCACATTAAAAATCATCTGAGGGGAACTCAATACCTCCTGTGAGAGATCTTTAAGCCTTTCTCAACATTTGAATCTTTAGATTGTAGGTTCATAGAGCTTTTTATTCTATTTGTGTGCCCATACCTCCCCCTTGCTGGATCATGTTACTTGTTGCTGCACTGACATGATTTGATTAAAAAATAGATTAAATTTTGTTTTTGTAATTTAGGTTTCTCTTTAAATGTTTTTTTTAATGCACATATAAAGAATATGTACTACTGGCACATTGTTTTTATTAATTAATTTGTCATAGCAGTAGCCAGTAGTATAAGAAGATGTCCCCTCTGAGAGGTTGTTGTGGTTATCAACTTTTCTACGGCCAGATTAAATCATTTATCTTTTACTCAGACCACATCATGTATGACCTATATATGAGTCATCAGCTGGTAGATTTACCTTGCAGCCTAAATGCCCATTCAATCTATCAGTAGTTTTCAACTGAACATTTTTACATCAATTATCAACAGTGGTGGAAGTCCTAAAAATACAACAATAATAAGCTGCTCTATTCAATGTAAATGCCCTGCATTGAAAATTGTACAAAAGTGAAAGTACGGACATTTTATCAGAAGAATAAACTTTAGGTTTCAAACGTAAAAAACCTTCATAATGCAGAAGAAGGGCCTATTGAGTGTTTTCTATTTATTACTTTACTATAATAAAGTCCTTATTATATATTAGCTTCAATTATTTGATCCTCTCTGACTCGATCTTTGGAGACATTGAAGAATTATCACAAAACACAGTTTGCTTAAAACCTTACAGCAAGTTTAGGTTACGGTCGAAGAACACAGTGAAAGGAAGAAGTCTATTTATTTATAACTTTACTATAATATAGCATATACAAGTATCATATATCAGCCAATGCTATTTGATCATCATTACAGGTGCATTTGCTTTGTGACTGATCACATTGATTGAAGAAACTTTGTACAAAAAGAATAAAGGTGGTGCAGTGAAGCAAAATGTGTTAATGTTAATATCTTAATATATAAGAATGCAAAAATAGACGTTTTAATAAAACTTTTGGAGAACTATCAGAAATAAAATTCTAACTATATTAAAGTGTGGATTTCAAAAAACATAGTATATTATGTCATCAAAATGTCATAGTATATTATGCCAAAATATGTCATAGAAACTGATGGAAAATGTATGTTGTATTAGTAAAATATGCCATAAAAATATAATACAGTATGTTATAACTAATCTTGCGTCATAGTCGTGTCGCATAGTGTGAACATAGAAATACTTTAACAAGTAATGATAATATAGCATGTCATAAAAAGGTCATAAAAATGATCATAATAGCTATATCATAAAGAAATGTCATACTTTACGACTTTTCTGTAAATAATAGACTTTTTAAATTATTTTGATATACTAAAGACTTTTGATTACTTCTTTCAACTTACTATTTTTTGACTTTATCATGTTTTCAACATGCTATACTATGACATTTCTATTATTATTATTTGTTACTTTTTTTGGCATATAACATTTTACGACTTTGTTTCAACATGCTATAGGACTTTTTCACATTGAAGTCCCCAAAAAGAGAAAAGCTGACAGCAAAACCAGAGGCTTTAAAGAAGAATGGACAGTCAGACTCTTATGTCGTCATTCTTCTTAACACCAGGTCACGTGTTCACAGACCGTGGCGATTAATAAATGCGGTAATGTGAAGCTCCACTACGTGACAAAGAACTCGTTTGAACAAACGTACCCACTCACAAAATAAACCCAAGAGCCCAATATGATCAGAATCTTAATATGTTAATATACAACAATGATGAGAGCTATAGAGCTGAAAGTGCTTTCAATAACCACAGATATGCACATTTTTCAAAAGCTTTCTGTTCTTAAATGTATTCTTGAATGCAGCCCTTATTTAGCTTGAAACGAGAGAAGAACATTTATTTATTATTAGAGTATTATTCATAATTCATCCAGTTCAATTTGAAAACTGACAGTAAATATTGTTGAGATATTATTTAATTGAACTTTCTTTATTTGATTTGACAGTCAGTCAGTTGTTGACTCCATACAGACGTTAATACAACTGTTGGCGACTTCTCTCTGTGAATGTTAATTCCCCTGTACTACACTATGACTTTTATTCCACATACTAAACAGTTACGTTTCACCAGGGGTCCCTCATAGGTTCCGGACCCAAACGCCGTTGCAATGCAATGCCCAGACATGTTGCGTGAGATCGGGAACCTTCTCGATTGAACCTGTCAGTCACGCCCACACGACTGATGCAACCCGCCGCTCCTCCGGTATAAAAGCTGCGCGCTCACCGCTCAGCGCTGCGATCGCAACAAAGTGAATACATGGAGGAGACACCGAGCAAACGTTTGGAGGAGACACCGGAGCTTAACGAACACACATCAGGATGGTCTATACCGCTGCGCTGCTCTTTGGACACAGAGTGCCCGTCCCGTCGGAGGAGGAAAGCGCCGTAGAGATGATCGGAAAGTATTTCCTCCAGCTCACGTCCCCGGACCGAGGGACGAGCTCAGCCCGGCGGGGGAGCGTCGAGAGCTGCGACGAGAGACAAAACAACTCGCCTTGTAAGTAATTTAAAAAGTTGAACGTAGTTTTGTTAAAGATACACAATTAGGCCTACGTAATAAAAAAATAAAAAAAAGTCGAGATAAGTACTACAGTAACCAATAAGCCATTGGCTGATCTTTCCGATGTAACAGTCTCTGGATGTAACTCATGCAGGTCTCTGATCAGCTGATGTTAAGGTTTGTTTCAACAGCTCATCCTAATTCTGATGACTCATGTATTTTAGTGCAGTTTTGCAAGACATTATCACATGATTATGTAAACGTAATGAGGATCAGATTCTTGCTTTAGTTGCGCTGCACTGTACTTGCATGTGACGTTGGTCACATTACTGGCAGCCCCTCTTGTTAAAAGATGTTGTGACTGAGACGGGCACATCTTCTAACACCTCTGGTATCCGTCTACAGTTGCCAACATGGACGCTGGTTTGGAGCACGAAGAGCGGCTGCTGCAGCAAGACGTGACCCGACAGATCGAGCACTGCCTGACGGAGGCCAAAGCTTCCACCCTCCACTGCCAGATGTTGCTGCTGCCTCACCAGATGACCGCCAGGGTGGGCCAGGACGTGGTGCGCTCCTCTGTCGGCGAGCCCTGCGGCCTCCGGGGCGCCTCCATCAAAGTCTACGTGGACGGCAAAGATGGCCCGATGTCTGCGGGGAGCATCCTGCTGGACCCAAGTGTCACCCCGACATTTGAGCTGTCTGTGATCTTCAAGGCACACGGGGACGGTGGCTGGCCCCAGCTCAAGCACATATTCGATACCAACAAAGTGTTGAAGCTGAGACCGGAGTACCGGCTGGTGAAGAGGAAGCTCTACTCCTCAGCCAGCCCCGTCATCCACGATTTCAACTAGGAAGTTAAGAACGTAAACCAGTTTCACCATACCTATTTGTTTTGTGAATTTTTATTTTCAACGTTGTCAGGCAAAGGTTCGGCCTGAACTGCACTGGAGTTTTGCTGTGTCATACTTTGTAGCTAAAGAGCAGGAGCGTTCATTATTCATGTATGAATGTCTGACTTGGAGCAGGAGGTCGAGCGGCTTGTTTAGCTGATGAATACAGTGTTTTGCACAGAATGGATGAATGTTAGAAGTGTTCACTCTAAACATTAAAAGCTTCCGTCCAGGACTGGGCGGGTCTCGCTCCTGAATTGTGCTGTACTTTCTATATTTATGCAATTGTAAAAATAAATGTTTCACACCACGATGTCTTGGTCCTGTGCTTGCATTTGAAGTACTTCTACACACTTTGTACATAGAGTATGCTAAATGTACTGTAAAAACACTTTACCCAGCACACATACCATACATATTCAAGACGCCTTCAATTCTGGGGCCGATACTTTGACTCACTCACGCAACTTGTTCACGAGTCGGGGAAAACGATTATTCACAGTCCGATCACTTAAGACACTGAATGCAGCTGGTGGTAAATTATTTAGAGATGAATTGACCATTTAGGGATTAAGACTAAATCTCTAAAGCAAATATGCAACTCTGTTTTGGATTTAGATCAAATCTTTATTTAACAAATGTACAACATAACACATGTATCAGCTACCCAAACACAACTCTACATGATCCATCTCACAGGTACAAAACTTGTTTTTTGTACGCTCGTCTAAGACACATTACACAAACAAGTTTCTTATGCCATCTGCGTAGCACACTGGCTACATCCTTAGTGTAGGGATGCATCAACACTATTTCAGCAACAACAAAGACCACATCCTACGTTTCAGCCCATTAACACACTCAACGAAACACCCGCGGTTTACAACACAGCCAACTACTTCACGAAGAATACATTGTTTCGTTTTTAGACATTTTTCTGATCGCTACCTTCAAAAGGCAGCTGTTGGTTTCCATTCTTTACAAAAGAGCTGTGTCATTTGAGGTTAAGATAATTAATCACGTGAAAAACGTGTTGACCTACTGCGCCACTGTTTTGACAATGCTGTTGGTGCTTTCAAGGACACTCCGGAATTTGAAATTGTCAAGTCTGCTGGCAAATGGTGATCTTTTACATGTAAACAAACAATATATGCATTAAACGACATCCATGATAGCTAGATTGTATTCTGGACTTTGGAAAAACAAACAAAAAACATATTACATTTTCAGATGCATGAGTGTACTTGAATGCAAAGAGTGTGAAACTGGCAACGGCAGACACACTCTTGTTGTAAAGATTGGTGATACATTTGAAGTGGATCTCACTTTAATGTTTTAGCAGTGATCACAGACCAACATGCAGTACTAGTAGTTCTTCAATCTGTGGACCTGTACATGATGACTCGTCACGTGGCCATTCTGCTTCCTGCCGTCCGATATCGTTTCAGCCCACGCGGGCCGGGCACAGCTCGGTGCAGGTCACTCCAATAAACGGATCAGCCAATCAACGAGCGTTAACTCATCCACGACTCAACGTGATCAGATCGGGCGAGTAGAGCTCCTCGTGTCCTTCATCATTTGATCCCAAACAAACCTTTGCTGGTGAACATGTTCTTTTTCTCTCTCTGCTCCATCTCAGCAGAGGGACGACTACCGTTGCTGGTGAAATGATCCGTGGGGAGGGTGGAGTGAACTCCCGATGGCGCTGCACGTAAACCAATCATATGAGGAGAAGGAGCTCTGTGCAGCTCTCTCAGACACACCGACAGACGTAACCGTCCACATATGACCTCGTCTACGCCAAAGTACAGATGAATAAGTGTGTATACACATACACACACACACATACATACACAGAGACTGCACAGTCCTCTTCAGAAAACAAGTGAGCATTCAGTATTCACCTCCACCTTCTCTGAGGGACTCTTTGTCTCTCGAAGTGTCTCGCGGTCTGAAATCTCATTTCTTCATTTTGAGGTCGGCCTCCATGGCACTACGGCGACCCCTAGTGCCTCCGTCCTGCAGCACAGAGACAGACGAGAACGAGGGGGGGGGAGGGGAAGAAAGAGAGAGACGGGGAAAAGAAAATTCACATAAGGATGCAAAGGTCAACGGTCAGGTGGACAGAGTGAAGGGAGGCCCAGCGTCAGGCCTCCTCACGCGCTTCAGCTCCGCACAAAAAAATAAATAAACAGCAAAGTCCACCTCGGAAGGCTTCCTCTCCAAATGAAGAACAGAAAAAACAAATAACATGATGACCAAAAAAAAAAAAGAAGGAAGATTTCAAAATAAAAGGAGGAGAAAATAAATTAGAACATGCAAAGACACGGACAATCACACGTAAACAGAAAAACACAGGAAACCAGCATGGACTCATTAACCGAAGGTCGACGGAAGCTTGGGTGATGAAAGGTTACGGGAGCCTGTGTGTGTGTGTGTGTGTGTGTGTGCGCGCGCGTTGAGGACATTGTGTCAAAACAGAACTTAAAGTTTATGAGGGTGACAAGGACAGTGTGTTCAGAGCTGTGTGTGAAACCGTGAGAGAGAGGAAGAGAGAGACAAAGAGGCCTTTTAGTTATCGATACCACACATCTATACAGCCCAGTGAGGCTGAGCACCGATGGTCTGTTTGTTTGGTCTTTTCTTCTGTAGAACTACTTAAAGTTTAGTCTTTCTCACCTTCCCATCACAACCTGACTAACTGGACAACTACGCTCAACAAAGAGGAAAAACAAAGAAGTGTTAGAGAAACAGTCCAAAGTCGGACACGTCTCAAGTCAAAGAAGTTGTATCGTGTTTGACCGAAAGGAAATCCAAAGCTAAGTCTAACAATGAATACCATTGTCTTTCGTAAAGGCCATAAAAACCTGCTTTCACTTTGAGGGATGAAGTCCTGCAGAGTTACGACATCTTCAGTTCACATGAAAGGATTCTGTGTTCGTGGATATTTTTCTCTCTGGTTTGAGGTGATCGTGGCTCAGTCGGGAAAAAGTGATGTCACTTACTTGGGTGCACTGGGGGGTGCCTTGGTGAGGAAATTTCCCACGGGTCAATAAACACCGGTGTTACTGATTACAACTGAGACTTTTCGAGGAAAGGTATTGGTCGATGACGCTCCGTATCTGTAAAAGACACGCCCGGACACAGTGTAACAAAGACTACTGAGCCTGCTGTGCACCAATCAGGATCCAGGAAAACATTTGAGATTGTGAGGTTGTCGCTCATCTGTCAAATCTGATCAAAGCGCACAGTGCTGACGAAGCAGATCAGAGTTATCAGTGTTAAAACTCTTCATCAACAACATTATGGATGGTTCTATTAACTCTGTTTCTTATTTAGTCGTTCATCTTCAGCCTTACCGAGGCTTTAAATCACATGAGTACACTATAAAGAGAAATTGCCTCCACTTGATACTTTTAGGGAAGTGTTTCAGATCTCATGGTAAATATGTATTTTAACAGAAACACACAACGGTAACACACACACTCACGATGTGCAGCTGAAATATAAACTAGTCAGTGCTTCCTGGTAAGAAAACTACGTTAAAAACAACCCTGTTTGTAAATAAGCTCAGACCTAGTTTGGCATTTCTATACTGCAACTTACTGCTCGTCATATACACTGATACAGATACATCTGCTAATACCAGCGTGCCCGACTCATAAGGATTTGTTTAATGCACCTGGAAAGGAAATACAATGATTGTGTACCTTAAAGTGAGCTGTTGTTCATTTTCATGTTATCATTTTAAATTAACTACTAGTTTTTAGAACCGTGGTAACATTACCAAAAATGTTTAAATGGGAACTGTTGAATATCTACAGTTAGAATATTACTGATTAACACCGATAAGAGTGGTCAGTTTTAATAATACCTTTCTAGTTTTATTTTGCTTCCTTTAATGCCACTAACGAACTGAATAAGAGAAAGAAAAGAGATGAGAGGTAGAAGCAGATGTGTACAGAGTGTGTTACGTGTGTGTGTGTGTGTGTGTGTTTGCTTTGAGACAGGCGTGTGCGTAGCGTGGCCTGGTTCTGGTGAAATCTGAGGGAGAACCTGAATACTTACAAAGAGAGAGAGAAGGAAAGCAGGAGAGGCCATTGGGACACTGTCCTGTAGGAGGACAAACATTGCAGTGAGAAAGAGAGAGAAAACACACACACAGGTGCGTGAGAAAGCAAGTTTCATACAAGTCTGCGTCAAACAGGGAAGCGCAGCGAGGAAAGAGCGCCCGTGCGACCGCTGCACGGCACGGCGCACGCACGCACGCACAGTAAAAAGTGAGATTGATAAACACAGACGGATACACAGACGTAGATAAACACACCTGAGACCAGGTATACAAGCAGGCAAGCACACTCCCGTACACACAAACATGTGTTTAAGTCAGCTCACAAGCACCATACACCACATAACCATCACGGCCACGATGGAAAACATCACGACTTCCATTCAGTCCAAACACCTCCATGAACTACAAATGTTGTTGTTAATACTGTTGGGTTCATTCAAGCTCTAAAAAGGTTGTGACTGTCTCATTTCAACCCAACAACACACTAAGGTGTTTTCTGGTGGAGCCTTGTTTAAATACATTCTGGAAAGTAAACCACTTGCAAAAAAATCACCCATAATTCTCAACTTCCTGGGAAAATGTTGCAAATTCTCAGATATTCCGTTTCTAAATTCCATGATACTTTAAGAATGTCATGACCCACGAGAACGCTGTTAGACACTCAAGACTCCCACAGTCATAATAAAACACACACACACAACAGCAAATATGAGCATTCATTGCAGACAAGCAGACAGACAGGCAGGGTGAGTCAGTGACGGGCAGATGCAGACAGACAGAAGTTAGTGAGGAGAGGTGCAGTCAGCATGCAGGACGTCAACACGAGGAGTTATTCTTAAGTGTCCCGTAGAGTCAACAATGTGTCAATGATGTGAAATGCAAATACAATACATGTAATCAGTGCCCGGAGGGATCGGCATCACTGGCTCTGCTGAGTCACACTTGCATGACACCGAGTGATCGTAGGCAACACGTTAATCAGCGAGGAAGGATTCAGTCATAGCAGTGAGCTGGTGTTTAGTTCTTTAAACTCATATGTACGGGTTGCATGGATTCAGCAGACTGTGGACTGAAGTATATCGTTCAATGGAAGTTCAAAACAGAGAGCGAAACTGTTCCTCCTATCATTTGAAGCAGTTGAAGTTAGTTTTATTCACATGAATAAATTGTCCCACATTGATGGAAGGAGAGAACACACACAGTTTCATCAGTGGTGGTCAACACTTAGGATCAAGAACACAATCTCTAAATGATACAGCAAGATAGAGTGATCCAACACAGACCAGAACAAAAAGAGAACCACACTGACTGTACGGTCAATTCAACACATCTGGGACTTGATTCCACAACGATGGCAACACGTTACTCTATGAACAGGGTCTGTGTAACATATCCATCCATCCATCCATTCATTTGCACAAACCACCTGTTTAGGAAATAGTAGCAGGACTTTGTTACTGGATGTTTACCTTTTCATACTGTACATAAATGTATCTTCATACACACTTAACACAACATATCAAACTCTAAAGCTGAACAATAATAAATGCTCAAAAGCTCGATAAGCTACTTCATGAATAAAGCCTTTATAACCATAAAAACGGTTAGTTTCTACAAATAACTGTCCCGCGTCTGACCTTTCATCACCTGTAAGTAATGACATGATGAGAGCCACACAGGTGTTTTCAGTTACTCTGATTAGACCACTCAAGTTGAGTGGAGCTACTAGTGGACAGTTTCCTGAGATCACTCCATACACCGGGGTTGTTCTAATGTGTTGTTCAGGGGGCCACATGTTCATAAAGCTAAGGGCCCGGGGACATTTCTCTGAGCTATTGACCCGCTCAATCTCTCGCTGGGCTTAAGAACCAACGCCTTTCTTCTCTTTGTGCTCATTTGTGTTTATTCGGTAGCATGTTTGATATACACTCCAGATAGACCTGTGCTATCACCATGGGCACCTGGTTATGTGTTCAAATTGAGGGTTCTATGAAAACAAGAATGCAACAACAACAATATATCGTGAGAAGGTTTCAGAGCAGAATAAGTAAAATAGTTCCCCCATAACCCAAAATGTCTTCCTGGCTCACTGTAGATATTTAGACAGTTTCGAACATTTACAGTGAAATGTTTTGAGTTGGAGTTTTATTGACTGCTTTGACGCTTTGCCAGACTTTTAAGGGAATCCTAATTCGTCCCCCAACAAGTCGCCCAACCCACCTTCTCAGCCGGCTCTCCTGGCTTACGGTTTCCCTCCCGGCCGCGGAGGCTCTTGGCGGAGATGGCGCTCTCCGAGGTCTGCATGATGAGCTGGGTGGCGAGGAACTGCTGGACGTGCTCCAGGACGTCGCGCTGCATCTCCAGCGCCATGTGGTACACATCGTGGTCCGACGAGTTGTACATGACGGCGTTCTGGAACATCAGCATGATGTCGCGCTGGAACTCGGCCGTGGTCCGGATCACGCCCGACTCAATGTTCTTCTTGATGGCCGACAGGTCCATGGGCCTGGAGCAGGAGGGGAAGTTATGAAACGTTTATCCAAAGGAATTTGATTGAAGAGAGTGTGTGAGTGTGTGTGTTCTTACCTGTGTACGATGCTATGGTAACCAGGCGCGATGTCATCTGACACGGGCTGCAGGAAGACGCTGGCATACCTGAGAGAAACATGAATCCATAAAAATATATATTTGTATATCAAATCATTTTGTAGTCAAAACCCCAGTATTTTAAGTTGGGCAAAAAGCACAAAAAAGCAACAAAATGCTGAATAGACAACTCGTAGACGATGGAGTTCAGTCCAGAGCTCAGCTTGTGTTCCTCTCAGTTATGAGCTGTTTCACAGATCTTTGGCTGCTATTGGATATTAGCCACGATTAACATTTCTCTTGTCTCAGCTTCTCTTGTACTTACGGGGAACAAATATCAGAAAACATACATAAATATTTGTTTATAGCATTTGGCCTGTAGCTACCATTGAAGACACCATGCTTCATGGAATGTGGGAGTTTTGATGACTTTAGGAGGAGTTCTCCTACGATTATTGTATTTGTATTCGTTTGTTTCTGCATTGTTGCTCTGGTTTATGCTCTTAGATGCTTGTGTAAACAAGGAGATGCACTTATGACTTCTGGTGACTAGCAGTTCTCTTGAATACCGATGTTGAACACACTTATTGTAAGTCGCTTTGGATAAAAGAGTCTGCTAAATGACTGTAATGTAATGTAATGATTCATCACATGCACACCGTGAGGTTCTGTTTTTAGGCAAAACTATATGAATGCATTCATTGAACTAAAACAAAACAGATTGATTTAGTACAATCATGGAGATAGATAACATTTATAGAATATTTAGACGAGTGATCAGTTGAGTGAATAAATAAGGGTAAAAAAAAAAGACAAAATGTTTTAGTGGTGTTGCGGTTGCGCTGCAGGCATAGCACTCATGGCCTGAGTACTTTATAAATCTGCTCATTACAATCAGGACGGTTGTGTGACTACCTTAAAACACGTGGCACTAAAACTCTGAGATTTAGGTATTGCGTAAGTATTTTGGCCAACAAAGACTTTGATTCATTGCTGAAGTTGAGGCATTGCAAGAAGCTCCACCTGTGGTTGGCTGCGGCTCTCCACACCAGCATAATGGCTTTCTTCCAGATCTTCTGGGCCTGCACTGCCTCCTGGTCCTCACCGCATGTAGATCTGAACCAGAGAGAGAGTGAGAGAGGAAGAGAAGACAGAGGGGGAATGCAGAAAGGATTGGGAAGTGCACGGTGAATGGAAACAAGAAGCAGAAGGGAAATCCCCAGAGGCAGAGAGGCAAGGGGAGACAAAAGTACACACTGTTAGAATTTTCAATGTCAGCAGCCAGAGACTGCGTAGCTCGGAGAAATGGAGCCCAAATGTGATTCAGAGGTCACGACGCTAACGCTCATGACAAATGCAAGCTAAGCTTTATCTGGTTTTGAATCAGCAAAACGCTTCGCTGCGTTTGTGGCAGAGGTTATATTCGGACACGACTCTGGTATTACACAAGCCACTTCCCCACTGAACATCACCCAGTAGATAAAAATGGTGACTATGACACAATCATCGCAGTCCTTTGGTGCGACCATGTGTACACCTACAGCTGGGAAGACGAGGCCGGGCTGCTGGCCAGCGAGTCCGCTGTGTAGTGCTGCGAGGGCGGGCCGTAACCATCTTCACTCTCGCTGGCTGCCCGCTCCACCTCCGACAGATAGGGCCCCTCCCCCTCCCCGCACTCCTCCTTCAGCTCCATCCCTTCTTCTGGGTAGCCCTCACTCCCCGCCTCCTCCTCCTTCACCTCCTGGATTCAAGAACACACACATATTTGGTAAAATGACTGTTTGACAAAAGGTTGTGCGTGTGTGTGTGTGTGTGTGTGTGTGTGTGTGTGTGTGTGTGTGTGAGTGAGTGCGTTACCTTGGACTCTCTCCCGGACACAGAGCTGTCCTCGGAGTCTGTGGGACAGAAATGAGGAGAGGATTAGAAATATATGAATACATCAGCAGAATTTCTGTATGCGTGCGACGTGACACCACCCACCCAGGCATGGCGGGTTGGGCTCTGGCTGGCTCCATTCCTCTCCTTCGCTCTTGACCGTCGCCTCAGGGGCCTCCTTCCCTGCCGCCCCCTCCTCCGCAACCTCGCTTCCCGTTTCACCGTCGTCAAAGGTGACAGAAGAGGTGACATCACTTCCCGTTACCTCAGGTCCGTCACAGTTTCCCTTGAGCTGCTGTTCTCTTTTGATTTCTGGTTGATTCTGGGTCTCTATGCCGGCAGGAATCAGGGCTGACATTGCGACCACATCCTGAGGCTCCTGAGTGGGATCGGAGTCTTGGGCGGCGGGCGCTGGGTCCGAAGCCTTCAGCTCCTGGGTCTCCCAGGGGCCGGGGAGGGTGTGTCCTTCTGAGACGGCCTCTTCACACAGGGAGAGAGCTGCTTCCACTGCCGCCGCATCCAAGGCCTCAACAGAGTCGTCGACCTGGGATGAAGGAGGGGAGGACAGAGGCAGGAAGGATTGAAGACTGAACTAGTACACAGCCAATATGATCTAAAATGTTGCTTTTGTTACATAACGCCATACCTAGAGGTCCGCACTCAGAATTACTGTCTATTAGGTGTCTACTATAACTTTCATCACAGTTACTCACTTAAGTCGAACATACTCCCCAATTAACACAAATAAAAAAGGCTCTGATCATTGTCGTTCTTGCCTCTTTCATGGTGAATGAGACAAACTGATAAGGAGACATATAATATAGAAAGCACAGTATGTACCTTCTCCTCTATGATGGCAATGATGCCTCCCACTGTCTCCAGGTCCAACTCGTCTCCCATGTAAGACACCGCTACGAGGTCCTCTTCTACCAACCCGGTCTCCTCACCGAGCTCTGCCTTCACTACAGCTTCCGCTTCACCGTCTACACACACACACACACACACACACACACACACACACACACACACACAGAGGAGTAAACGAGAACACAATGAAAACCTGCAAGGCTGGAAGTAATTATTAGGTCTGAACCCAGTATCTTAATCTCCTGTGCACCATGAACAGTGCAGACCAAGATCCTTTATCCTCTATCTACTTATGTCACAGAACCATATGTATCTGTGTGCAAATCTGGTTAAAGTGCTTGAGCCACGCTACGAAATCCCCTCACTCACCCTCTTCAGTATGAAGATCGTTCTTCTATGAAGAGGAAAAGACTGTGACCGCTGCTGTGACGGCGGAGTGGAGTTTTATAGTCCGGTGCTACAGACACACCCCCTCTGAGGGTCACACAGACACATCTGGCGCTACCCGTTCCCCAAATAATGTAGATATTCTCATCTATTTGAAAATAAATATCTTAAATATTGTGGTTTTCGTGTTAGACTATAGCCCAAAGTTCTTTGCTTTAAGTGTTCTTGAAGTTCTTTAAATGGAAAGCAAAGTTATATTTGTCTCCTCCCCTTTTCTTTCCTGATCTGAACCGCGACTCAAAAACCATGAGGTTTGTGATGCGTTGCACCCCTAGTGTGCACGCACAAACAGTTATGCAAAGTGTATTTACCTGTGATGACCGCATGACCAGGTGGTAAGGCAGTGGCTGTCTGAACTCCATTGGTGAGGCTTCCAGCAGAGTCTCCCTCCCCAACCTGACATCAATAAACAACACAAAAGTGTAAAGGGTTTTAATCCAGCATTGCCAGGACTTTGTAGACCCACCGTGGGGGGAAAAAATTTAAGTTCAAAATATTCATTGACATTAAATCAGAATATTGCAGTCCGTCTTTAAAAGAAAGTCACCAAAGCAGTGAATGAATGCACGTATGTAACTACATAATAAAGATATAATCTCTGACGATGTTGGTATTAGAAGCTCATTAAGCTTTACCATTTTAAGTTCATAGTGGCATTCTATAGATTGGTGTTCACAGTGTATATCTTTGAGGCGTTTATGATGCCTTGTATGATGTCATATCATTTTTAATTCCTGGGCATTCTTGTACTTTTGGATGTGGTGATGTAATCTGGCTCTCACCAGGCGGGGGCTGGCCGAGATGAGGTTGCCCTTTTTCAGCAGTTCTGACAGGAGAGGGGAGGGCGGCGGCGTGGCCTTCTGGGTCAAGAGCCTCTTCTGTGGCGAATCATCTACTTGAGCGGCCAGGCCTCCGTCTTTGGGCCCCGGGCCCGGAGCATCCGACACTGGTAGGAACACTCCGACCCCCTGGGCCTGGCAGAGGCAGCAAAGAATCAGTGAGCTGCAGTATCTCAACCATCTCCTTCCGGGAGGAGCTGGCAGCGCCAAAAACACCACAATGTGAGATGATCTTTTTCCACTGACTCATAATGAGACCAAAAACTAACTGGAGATACAGATAGGCACTTTTGTGGAGTCTGTAGTTCTGAAATAAATCTCAAAATAAAAACACATCGAGGACTTTTAATGTATGCAACAGCCTCTAAATCTATTACAGTGACGCCTGAATTAAACTTCAGTGTGTCACCTGAAGTACAGCGACTGTGAAATTTCCCTTCATAATAAAACATTGTTGAAAAAAAAAAAAGATGGCGTAGAGAAGGTGGAAATGTTTCAGCTGGATAAAGAAAACCTTATTTAACATATTTTTCTCTCTGTATCGGCAGGATTCTTGTGGTATGTCATCACCGCTACATGACTAGAACTACATAAGGCCAACACTGCTCTATTAGAGGATGTTCTTACAACTGAGTGGGTGGTGGTGGTGGTGGTGGTGGTGGTGGTAGTGGTGGTGGTGTCATCGGAGGCAACACCTCCTGTATCCATGGGTGTCGTGGGGACCAAAGAGTCAGCCAGAGAGTCCACGGTGGGGGAGCTGGCACCCAGAGGAGAACGCACAGTTACGCTGGGCAGACGCTTGGGTGTGTTTTTCATCGCCTGACGAGCTGTGATGGACGGAGAAGATCAGGAAGAGAGAATAAATCTATTTTCTTTTCTTTCTTCTTCAAGGAATCAGAGAAATGAAGAGGAACGCATCATGTAAACGCTCGGTCATGTCAACCCAAGCACATCAGAGAAACAATCCCTTGTCAAGTAAAATAAATAAAAGTATTCTAGTAGTTTCAGATTTGTTGTATATAGACTGGAAGAGTCATTACTGGAATATAAATTTGACGTACTATTTGACAAATGTTATAAATAGAATGCTGTTAATCCTTAACATAAAGAGCAATGCGTCTGAAACTACACAGTATAACAAAGTCATAAAACCATACAGCACTACAACTACTATGAAGTTTATGAAACGTTTATCTCGGCAAAATAGAAGACGACATATTTGTAAATACTACTGCTAGTACTGTGTTTTGATGCAACTCTGTATCGCAGCATGCCAGGTCATGTGAGGGGAGTGTGTGGCGACACCTACCACAGAGATAACCAAGACGTTCTCTGCATATACTCACATGAGCCGAGATATTTTGATTTCCTAAAGTAGTTCAACGGAGGGCCTTCACCAGTGCAGACTGAACCTACCTTGGTACGCTGTTTCTGTGGCTTTCCTCTTCTGCTCCGCCTCCTCCTCAGCCTGCTTCTTCTTTCTGGGGGTTGGAAAATCACAGTTTAACAGTCTGAGAAGATGGTATATAGGAGAGGGGGGGGGGGGGTAATAGAAATATGGAAAGCAGACAGATGCCGAGTCACAAGCGGCCATCTACAATGTAGCATGTGATGTGTAGCATGAGGCTACCTACAGCTAAGAAGTTAAGGGCATTCTCTGGCAAATTTCTGTCATGGTGGTGTTGAATGAAAAGTCGGTGGATCATCAAAGTTATTAAAGTCCAACAGAAACTGAATAGCATTTTTTTTGTAACTGTTTTTCTACAGCATGCAGATCGTGCTCTGTTTATCTCTTGTTAGTATCTGTTTTTTTTTTAATCAAACAGAAGAACTGATAAAAGTCTCACAGTGTGATCTCCGCCCACAGCTCCTTCAGCTGGGAGTCCATGTGACCCGTCTGTATCAGATCCACCTTCTTCAACTTCCTGTCAGGACAGAAAGCACGGACGGGTTAAAGACCACGGCTCGCAATCAAATGCATGTTAAGATATATTTGATTTTAAATGTGTATGTACCTGTACTGCTCTTGTGTGTCTCGCAGTAGTTTTTTCAGTTCCTCTATCCTCTCTGTGGTTAGCCGACGCACGATGACATCTTCAATGGTTTCGACCACCTCGCCCTTCTCACCACGCTTACGCCTGGAGTATAGGACGGCATAAGCACTTTAAGTCAACTCACTCAATAGTTAACCTGTGTTAACAAACAAAAGTGACAACACATGATCATAATTCTGCATATAGGTGTTTGGCTATGTCTGTGTTAGAATACTGACTTGGGTGCTTCTGTGGCCTCCAGCAGCTCGGAGTATTGTGAGGCACAGTGCTGGGGAACAGAGAGAACGCTTGTTATCCTGAGGCACATTTTGGCCACAGCCTGAGTAGAACTCGGCATAGTTATCAGCTCAGAAGACAAAAGGGGGAAACTATTTGTAGGTTTGTACTTTGTAGATTTCTCACCTTCTGTGAGAACCAGTCAGGTGGACGGCCAGGCTCTGAGAAAGGCTTGATGGCTCTACTTACAGACACCCTGGAAGACGGAGAGACATTCCTCAGAATAAACACACATGTTGAGAAAACAATCGGAAAATACATTCATGTGGAAACTGAAGAAATGCTTTCAAATTGGGAATAAATTAAGACAAGTGAAAGTGAAATCCAGGGTATTGTGGGGAAAAAAGTACATATACATAGTATACATGTAAGTTGCCCAAGTCTGACCCCTAGTGGTGAGACTTGAGACTAACAGCTTTTGCCCCATGTCCTCAAAGATGGACATAACCAGATAATGTATGGCAGCTAATATGCTACTTCAAATCCAAGTGTGTATAGACATGAATGAATACTTGGGTGCTTCTAGAATACTATTCATATATAATATAATAATCTGCTGTAGCTGCCCAGCATATGGACGGTCTAATACAACAGACAGACATCGCCTGTGTTCTGATGGCCTATGGCTGGCCCTATTTGTGAATGACAAAAGCAGATGAATAAATATAATGAGCAGGTTTTTTTTCTTACCAGTTTTGGTCGCCACTCCTCATAACAGAGGAGGCCAGGCACAGTTTCTCCCTGACGGACCAGGGCTCCGTTGGTCCCACATTCAGTATCTTGTGTTCTGTGAAACACGTACAAATATACAGTGAAGTCATAACACGTCCAGGTATTCTTAGCATCCTGTGGCCTGTTACTAGCTAACATAAATGCTTTATGTCAGCGCACAAACAATGAGCAACTAAAGTCCACATAGCAGTAACATTGTTCTCTGTCAGAGTTGGTAAAACAAGCTGTGTCAGTGTCTACATTAACAAACTGTCATCTCAGGTAACTTAACGTTATGTGTTTTGTTTTTATTCCGGGGGTATTTGTTTACGGTTGCACACACCAGTTACTATACAATTGCGGTCTTTATCCTCCATACAACCTAATTACCCTACTGTCTGTGATGTATTAATGATACAAACATAAAACGTATGACAGCCAGCAGCAACAGCGCTGGTGAGCCTTGTAGTCGTGTAGGTTTTTATTTTTTATTGTTTGTCAAAGTTCGCTAGCTAGCTACTGTTAGCTAGATTGTTTACAGTAATTTGCTAGCTTGCATCGTATTTAGAGGATGCTTCTAATACTGTAGCACTTCGTATTTTTTCGTACAAGTACGGGGGCTTTAATGCAACAGCTACAAGTAACTAAGCCATGGTTCTGCAGACAATACCATACACTTAGCGTTTGCTACAAATTGAAACAGTAACGGTAACGTTAGCTTAGCAGTGTTGATTACGGGGGACACATTCACGAGACACACACACGGCGTAACGGTTTTATTTCATGCAACGACCCTACCAGGTTCGACCAAACCAAATGAACTGTAATGTTTGGAGTGTGTTTGCTGATACATTTGTTATGAAATCAGGAAGAAAATAGAGAAAGATTTATAAAATATTACTCACTGCCGATACCGCTCGCCATTTCTTTTGTGACGAGGCCGTGAGCACAACTTCCGCCGGACAGGTTTCAGTGGTACACGAATGTTACGGGAAAAAAGAGACACAAATACTCAGAATGCAGCTGCAGTCAGTAGAGCGTAGGACATATCTAAACGTGCTTGTTTAGGTTACGTTTTGAAAAAGCAGGACTTTTTTATATTTCAAGCCTAGTCAGGAAAAGGTTGATAGGTTTCTAGTGTATGTTATGATAGTAGGCCTACCTATTAGGTAATATATCTCATAATAGCTGCCGTGTCTCCCCTGAGTTAAATGGGAGTAAAAAAACAGACCACATCTAAACCAGAAGTGTCACACAGGCAGATGCTTAATGTGTCTTGCAAAACAACAATGAACAAAGAGAAAAGTGTGAGTTAGTGTTGTCAGGATATTTTGGACATACTGAGGTGAGGAGTGGTGAGGGTGAGGTGAGGAGTTCCCCACTGCAACTCCACCCCATTTATACTTTTTTGGGCTGACACCAAAGAAAAAAAGTGAATTCTTCTGATGTATTTTTGTCCACATTCTCTTTATGTATTTAAATGGACAGATCCTATTTTATATAAATGTTATCTCTCTAAGCGATTGGTCTGAAAGTTGTCTCAAAGGGCTCTCTGCATTGTAAGGAATATAATTCTGGTGTTGACGTACAAAATAGTTTAATTTCTATGATTTTATTTAATTTCCTGTTTGCTTTAGCTAAAAACACTTCAATTTACATATAGTGAGTCTAATACATATCACAATCAACTTAAAGCAATGTGTATCTATAGAATACAGACATCTCCATAAATCATTTAAATCCCTAAATGTCCACAACAGTACATTGGACACGACCTTTGTCTTGGTTGTGATTTGTTGTGGTAATCCCACCGCTGGATGAGGATGAAAAGAACTACTGAACTTGTTTAAGTAACTAACTGTTGTTCAAGGTTCACGTTTTATTGTTATTTTACAACACATTAGTAGCCCCCTCCATGCTAAACACACAATGTATACGATATTCAAATATTGGATTTAGAATAAAATATAAACAATGAAATAGAACTATATAAAAGTTGTACGAAAGGAAGAAATAAAAAGGGACCCTAAGTTACATTTAAGAGGAATATATACAATATGAGGATCACAAAGTGAGCCTGTACCACTATTACTTGAGGCACTGTGAGGTAGAGAGACAGCCACACTGGACATATTGTGTAGAGTGAAAGAATAGGGAGCAACTGAAGTGGACTTCTGTTTCACCCGAGTGATGATCGGGACACATACGATGACCTAAAGTGAACATTCATTGATTGTTCAGTAGACGGATGTCTGATAACATGTGACATGTTGATTTAAAAAAAAAAAAACAGAAATGCAAAGACAAGAGTGATAAAAATAGTTCAGCTCTGTGAAACAAGCCTTAATGTTAGCCATTGCATGCCAGCCCTGATAGAAAGCTCTACAAATAATGTGTGAACTCCATGTTTTTTTATTATACAAATACACTAAGTCAACGGTTTTGAAAGGCTTACTGTATGTTTCTCAGAAGCAAAAATATAAAACATCAGCTTCATTTAGACTCCAGTTTCAAAATGCATCACGAAGGGACTACTTTCCACACTATTGTGACTCTCAGTTCAAACTGTCAATCAAGAGTGATGATGAAATGAGACCAATCACAACCGTTTAAATATTGGCAGTCTTTATTTCAACAAGACTAAGAAATGTTTAATATACATTTTCTCTTACAATTTAACATCTATCTCTTGTTTTTTTCCATAACATTTAGGAGATACTCTGACAAGTATAAATCTGATGTACTGTTATGGCCTCTTTTAGAGACATCTAAACCGGCTGCTCTTTATTTACACTGTATTTTTTTATTTTTTTTATTCTTCTCAGTCTCTCCTCAGAAAACGAGTCCTTTTTCTGTTCTTGTGGGCCAAAAGGCTGATGGAAGGGTTTTCAACACCTGTCCAACTCAACTCGTACATCGCTAGACTGAAGTTGCTCTGTGGATCAAATGACCAACATCCAAGCAGCCGGGGCCATCTCTCCGTCGGCTGGAAAACGCTGCTGCCCCGGCCCGCAAGCACAGACATTTACCATCATCATCATCATCATCACCCAAAAGCTTTTCCTCACACTCAGAAAGTTAGGTTTTCTTCACACTCGACACATTTCTTCCACATGACGCGAACACATGCACAAGGCCTGGTAGAAATGTTGGAGGAACACAAAAAAAAAAAAAAAAAAAAATCAGGAGAACTGAATTGGAGGTAACGCCGGATCAAGCTGCTGAAGCACTGCTTCGTTGTTTTTAAATGAAAAGCGTCAGGATTTTATGTGGGTTGCTTTGTCGTTCCTTTAAAGTCAGATTCTAAATATCGATTTCCTCGTTGATTTGGAAGTCTGTTAGTTGGTAACATCACTTTTTTTTGGAAGAAAATTTCATGTAAGCTTACAATCAACCTGTCAATTTCAAAGCCGAACAAGAGGCACAAAGGTTGTGTCCAGTAATTACCAACTGGGTCAGACCTGCAGACGAATGTGAAACATGCAAAACCATTTCAATTTTCACAAAATGCATACTCAAATCTGATCAACTCAATCAATTACGCTGAGAAATGAATTACTGTCACCTAAGTTTTGCATGTGGAAACATTTTGAACGCTGTATCTCGGACCGTCTATGTTGGTTCTAAACGCATGTTTACAAGGACGTTAGAATACATGCATAAGTTACTGTACAATAGCTACATGATGCAGCGTCATTTTAGAGATGAAATGGCCAGCTAATGCAACTTACAGACCCGGTTATAACATTAGAAGATATAGAAATCCTTATGTTGTGCTTGTCAGCTGGTAACGATATACTCCAACACCCTACAGGGAATCAGAGCACATAAATGATACAAATCATCAATCATCAACATCCTTCTTTTTTTTTTCTTCTTCTTCTTTTACCTGAAGAAGTTGCTAATAATGTACCAAGGTAAACAGAGAAGAAGAATCGATCAGGCACCATACATTGCATTCCTTTTGGTAGCAATTGTGACTAAACTTCAACATTCCACCTCCAGCTGAAATGACGAGAACGCGAGAATGAGGGCAGGCAGATCAAATGGTCCAGAGTTCCTTTACACCGACACATGCCGGTCAGGAGGCACAAGTGTGTGTTATGGGACGGGGGCAAAAAAAAACAAAAAAAAAAAGAAAAGAAAGGAGCACCAAAAAAAAGACTAAAAAAATAAAAATAAAAACAGTTCACACTGACCAAAAATGCCCCCGATATCTGTGCACATTGTCCTCTTCCACCAGCTAAACTAGCAGTAAAATCCACTGTAGTACCTAATATATATCTTCATACCAAAAATAGCTAAACATTACAACACCTCTTCGACATAAAACCCTGTATTAAAATAATCTTTTTTTTGATTTCATTTGATCAAAGCACTGTCATTTGTTCCTCCTCCTCTCGCTGTATGAACGTACGCGTCGCCACCTTCTCTTCCTAAACGAGCGAGACTATCGAGTTAGATCCTCTGTGCCGACCTGAGCTTACAGTACCACACAAAAGGCCATTCGGAACTCGTCAGCTCTGCCTTCTTTAGGGTTAATGCCGGGGGGGGGGGGGGGGTCCTTCTCCGGCCACACTTCTCCACTCCATCAGACCCGTTCAACTCAACATCACTAGATTGCATCGACTGTGAGAGCATGCGTGAGGTACGACCTTTACTATTGAACTGTTTGCGCTGAGGAAGTAAAATTAAAAAATTGATTTCGGAAATAAAAATGAAAAGAAAAAGCTAGGTTGTGATAATGCTCATAGCAGACATACAATATGCACATTTGGGCTTGCGGAGCGCCCCAAAAGCTCTTCTAAAGGACGATTCCATCTCCAGGTCGAACGTAAATACCTGTGCTGTAACTTCTCTCGCTGCATTTCCAAGAGATGAGAAGATGTTTAGCGTCTCTTCGAAGCGAACAAAAAGCTCCGACTGTGCCCCCCCATCAACAGCCAACTCCCTAATTTCTGTCTGGCTGACGTACACAAATGTATAAATGCACAGACGCAAACATTCACAGCGCGCGCAATCGAATGATAGTTAACATTCATAAAAACAATCTCTGAATAACGGAAAGAAGGAACATCCTCAGAAATATGAAGATGTGTCCCACCACAGGCACTCGCTGTTCAGCCAAACATCTGGGCAACTGTTTAGATATCAGATGGCGATCGCCGAAGAAGGCACAAAAATGTATTATGAGATTAAACTGCCAAAATAAGACAATTGTATGACGTTTGTGTTGCTGCAAGCAGAACCACAGTGGAGCTCCAGCAGAGCCGTAAGGAGTAAAGGCTTATCTGGGGGGAAAAAAAGGTGGATTTCTTGGAAAGAAAAATTGTATTCCTGTACACTGATGTCCTTAAAAACATACAAATAATTAAAAGTGAAGTTATTGTAATATTAAGAAGAGTCTCCCCCCCTCCCCAAATGGCGGACAGTCCAAGGTCCTGAAGGCAGTCTTTTTAAAGTCTCTCTGACAGTTGTCTCCTTCGCTCCGTCATTCCTGGTCGTTCTCTTCCTCTTCTTGCCCAGCCAGTTTTATCTCAAGTGGGGGGCGAGCAGGGCCAGGGCCAGCCCGCAGAGCGCCAGCGCCATGCTTCCCTTCGAGGCGACCCCCCCGTCTGACGGACGTAGGCTCTTCACCACCTGATCGACGACGGGTTTGTCGGGGTTCGGCGGAGTGGAGAAGTAGATGTCCGTGTCGCAGGGCGGAGAGTCGCAGCCGCTGCCGCTCTCCTCCCCTCCGCTGCTATCCTCGTCTAGAATAAGAAGACACGAGGGGTCAGATGTGTTCAACTTGTTTATGATGTCATGAAGAAAGTCGTAACGAGCGTCAACCATCCTCACCGTTATCGATGGAGATGTCGTTGCCGCTGTGTGCAGCTTTGAGCCAGCTCGTCATTTCCTTCAAAGCCGCAATCTGACTGCGAATCACAATGTCTGGCTTCGTTATGTCCACGTCCACGTCCGGGTTCGACACCTGATTGGCCAGGCCGTTGCCAATGACAACTGACTCGTACCTATGTGGAGTGAGAATCAATATGAGCCAAGGTGTTGGATTATTTTACGACACTTTAAAAGCAGTGAAATGTAGATTATATGCGTGTGTGTGTGTGTTTATTTTACCTGCTTTTTGCGGTTCCGTTCCAGCAGTTGTCCCCAGGTGCGATCCTCTCACCTGCACAAACGGTCTCTGGCAACGTGGACCAGAACTTTTTTGCATGTTTCAGCTTCTTCTTCACATCGTTTGTCTGCATTGGAAAAAAACAAAACAATAAACATCAAACTCAAAAGACTTAAAAGCAAAGCAGCAGGAGTGCGGTTGTGCTCTGGGTTTGTCCTCGTCCTTACCAATCGATCTAAACTGGTGCCAGCAGCGGTGGTGGGTTGAGCATCGGGACTGTAAGGGCGGAAGCGTCCGTTGAAGCCTGCATCTTTGATGGAGCGCGTGGAACGGAAGGTCGCGCTTGGTTTGGGCTGCCCGCATCCTTGGAAAACCTGTCAGAAATGAGCAAGCATCCAGTGAACTTGATGGAACGGAGCTCTTCATTTTCTTGACTTTCTGTATTTAAAATACTGTGAAATGATACTGACTTTCTGCGACACTTGCATGCTGTTCTCCTGCATGTTCATGATGGCGTCTGAAATCTTCACGTCGATGGGCTCCATGACGGACTCAAAGTTAAAGGGACCTTCGAGCCTATCTGCTAGACTGAGCATGGCATCTGAAAACCAGAACGTAAGAACATAAAGTTAACAAGAGAACAAGACATGGAATCATTGAGGAATCAGATTTTTTTAATGTTACAAAGAAACTGCCACTAGGGGGAAGCACATGCCCAAGAGGAGCCGGTGAAGCAGTGAACCTGGAGCCCTCAGACCATGGCAGAGTAAAGCTGCTGCACAGCGAGGAGGCGGCAGAAACCGGACGCCTCCGCAGACAGTAGCAGTGTCAGCAACGGATGCATTTAACGGTGGTATAGAAACCAGGAAACGTCTTTTGTCACACGAGTCGTGTAGAATAAATATAACGAGGGGAACGACGGACGTGTGCGTCGCCCGGAACGTAATGAAACTGATCTGGCTCAGTGTTTACACAACACAGGAGCTGCATTCATCCTGTGGGTCACAACATGTACAACTTGCACTACCCCTCCCTCTCTGCCTCGACTTATACAAGATGCTAAAGAATGAGGGACGTGTTTGTACAATTTATTTATTTTTTTTACAGTAAACACTGCGTTCCCTTGTTAAATTTGTTCTTGCTGGAGTGCAATAAGCCCACAAAATACACGGTAGAAATATGCATATATATCCCATCATGTCACACTGGCTTCATGGTTTCTAAAGGGCTGCATGTTTAGAAAAGGCAGAGGTGGATTAGATCAAACTTTAATAATTTTGTTTTGGGGGGAAATGTGAGGACTACAGTGGCACGTTTTAAAAGAACATGGATGCAGGGAGTTTAATACATATACTTAAAGCCAGGGACCTTCGAGCCTATCTGCTAGACTGAGCATAATAACGGCTGCAGGAGGCGTCCTTGATCGCACGACGGTCGCTTACCGAGGAAGTTGTTCCACTCGGTGTCCAGGTCGGCCTGGTTGGCCAGACACCCACGCAACACATTGAGACAGTAGTTCTGGCAGGGCTTCAGGGCCACTTGGCCCGAGCAGTAGGGACAGTACAACATCTTCATGGACGCTCGCACACAGCTGGGAGACGCACTGACCTGGAGGAGGCGGGGGGGGCAGTTAGCAGACTGTTATTGTTTCACCACAGCAGAACACTCGTCCACATAGACACATACTTGGACTGGAGAAAAAAGCATGACCATTAAATTTAAAAGCCAACTCCACAAACTCATCATTAATGAATCACTCGCTGCAGTGGAAAAACATGCCGTACCAGAAGAGTCAACGTGGCTTAAGTTATCAGAGATGCTGTAACGGAGCTGCAGACAGTTTTTACAAGAAAGATATGATCACAGAAGGGAGGGATGGACAGAGCTTTCTGGAAAAAAACTCTTTGTTCTTTTTATCAAGGCTTCACATGCACCTCTCACTTACCGTGGAAACTTTATTGACCACCTCCGGCATGAGCGTCAGGCCGCGCACGAAGGTGCGCGCGGCGACAAAGGCCCGCATCAGCTGGATGCGGAGCTTGCGCGGCACGTCGCCAAAGGGCTGCAGCTGCTCCGTGTGCCGGCTGACGCAGTCCATGTAGGCGTCGCTGAACTCGTACTGCACGTTGACCAGCTGGAACATCCTCTCCAGGAGGTCGGCCCAGAAGTCCGACAGCACGGAGTCCAGGTTGACGGCGGCGCTGCCGGACACGTAGTACCGCGTCAGGGCCCCGAAGAAGTTCTTGAACAGCTCCGCGTTCTGCACGTACATCATCCCGTATGTTCGCACGAACATGTTGTGCAGCGAGACCTCGGCGTTTTTCAGAAGCTCACGGAAAAACTCTGAGGGGGGAGAAAAAGAAAAAGAAAGAGGAGGGGGATTAGTGTGATGACTAAATGCTGAGGCTGCCAGAGAGAAGGAACAAACTATTCGACATTGTTAACATTTCATGCCCGTCTACAGGATTGATTTTAAAGATGGGACAAAGGAAACTGCATTTCTATGATGGATAACATATTGCTTGGGACATCTACAGAGATTTTATTGATCTTTAATTTAATAACTTCTGCTCATGAATTGGCTTGTTTGGGCACAGGAAATTCACAAGTAGTGCTTTGTGGCTATCCCATTACAAAACAGAAAGCATTGTGAGGTTTCCATCAAGTTATTGCAATATACAGATTCCAGCACGACCACACTGGACGTAAATAACTGAATTATTATGGTGTCCCGACGAAAATCAACATTTCAAAAGCACGATACTGCTGCCACAAGACTGTATTCCTGTACATCTAAATAGACGTGGAGCCCTCCACACACTGTGCCCGGGATGCTGCCGTCCCCCTTTTGAAATCAGAATGATGGCCGTCCCCCTTCACCTGTGCCCGCGTGCTGACATTCTCCGCTTCTCAACAGAAACAGTTTGAGCATAAAATCTCGGATGAAAGGCAAAAGGAATGTATTGTGGTGAGCTGGATGTTTGGGAAATGAGGGGAGCTGAGAGGGGTGAAGCAGGAAGGGGTGAAAGGTGGAGCCGGAGCATCTCCGTCAGGCTGAACGAGCGGGTCCGATCATGGGAGCGGCGCTGCTCCTGGACCAGCAGACTTGCCATTCAGCGGGGACGTCTCTCCACATCAAACCGCTTCAAACTGACCACCATCAATGGCATTTTTCCGTTGTCACATTCCATTCGCTTTCTCCCGGCTTGTCCTGGACTGTCCTTCAGAGGCATTTTCAATAGGATTACTGAATAATGTGACCCCCCCCCCCCCCCCCCCCCTCCCATATATGGACCTGTACCCCCCATCTAGCCCTGTGTCTCCCTCCCTCTGCCGCTTTCACTTCATCAGTTCCTTCAGAGAGCTCTCTTCACTAGAGACAGGGAACAATGACCTACTTCATCCTGAGGAATGTCCATCACCCCCCCCCCCCCACCCCCGCTGCTTTCCCCCACCCCCAATAATCCAGGCCCCCTCTCCCACGGACACCCCCTCCTCGACCCCCCCTCAACTTTCTTAATCTGAACAAAATGAGAATTCCTCAGTCTCTGAAAAATGCTTCACCTTCAGTCTTGCGTGCATGCAAGCATACACTCGCCCCCTTTCACTCAACTCTGTCTGTCTGTCTCCCCCCCTCTCGATGCCCTGTGCGCACAAAACCTCTGTCCCACTGCAGATTCTCTGGGTGCCCTCTGCTTGGCTTTGAAATGTAAAGTTCCCATGCTCTCACAGAGGGAGTCACTAAACGCTCCCTGCCACCAGCACACACACACACACACACACACACACAGCAAGTAGCGCTGTCACTTCCACTTCAGCCTGACACACTAAAAAGAAAAAATGAGGTAGGGGAGGGGTGAGGGCAGCTTGGGGCGGGTTAAGTTGAGGGCTTTTTTAACTCCAAATCCCCACTGTGTCGCCAAGGATACCGGAAACACTGCAGCCCCTCCATTTACCTCCCCGCCATCATGCCCCCCCTCCCATCACCCCTCCCCTCCAACACACACACACGCACACGCACACACACACACACACACACACACACACACACACACACACCCAGGGGAGAGGGCACCAAGTTCCACGCTCCATTGACAGAGATTAAAACAAAAGGTCCACCCCCACCCCTGGAATGTCATAGTAGCCACAAGTTTAAAGTCAGTGAAAGGAGATGGAGGAGGAGGAGGAGGAAGAGGCGGCACGAAGCAGGAGAACAACCCCAAACTTCTCTATTTCCATTCTACAGTTTATTAGAGCGGTAATGCCTGTATGCTAAACAGATAAGCCCTGTAATGAGTTTGGACAAACCCACTGGTAGAAAAAGAGAGCGGCCTGTGCAGGGTGTGTGTGTGACAGTGGTGGCAGCGGGGGAGGTGGTGGTGTGGGGGGGGGGGGGCTCTTCTTTGGCCGAAGCTGGGGGTCTTAAGTATAAGCAGCATTACACAAGCATCTTGCATTGTCATTAAAAACAGTTTATGACACGCAGCCGTCTGCCGACAGGCCGAGGAGCTGAACAACTTCCTCATGATTTTTCCATTAAAAATGTTGCCTGTCGCTCCACCAATGGTCTGAGGGAATGTGGGTGAAAGGTTACCCGGGAGAGAGCGTACGCTGTAGCAAAATGTAAGGGAGATGGACAACTCCTGCCTCGGCGAGCGCTCGTCTCTCTCCCTCCCCGCGCCCTGTCATCATTTCCACATGTTGCAGAGAAGGCCCTAAATTATAAGCGATGATCTGTCGGCCCGATCCATCATGGGAACAGAGGAGCTTACCGATTCGCCTCCCACTCCTTCCCTCCTACTTCCTCCTCCAAGAGGAGCTCCCCCCACCCCAGTCCCAATAAACTCTGCTCCTCCCAATCCCAGCCCAGGCAGTAATTGCATCCTATTTGTGCCAATTAGTCCCTGCGCTTCTCCCTTTTCTTATGGGATGGGATTCTGTCCCTCCTGCTGTTGGACTTCAGAGCTTTCGGATGGATGTCTCTTGGTGTGTGTGTGTGTGTGTGTGTGTGTGTGTGTGTGTGTGTGTGTGTGCCTGGGGAAAAGGGGCCTTAATCCTTGTGCTTAAATCCCAGACATAGGCTTGCACTGCTGGACGGGGTCAGTGCAGTAGGACAGACAGACTGAGGGGAGAACTATTCCCGGCCCTGGTCTTAATTGTCCATGACTCCTAGCTCCAGGGGCATGATGGGAGCCGGTCTAATCACAAACACCACTTCCTGAGTTTGTTAGTGTGTGAGCAGCACGCTGTTGTGTCTGTGTTCGTGTACGGTTGCAGCTGTGTTTACGCACACATGCACCACCACCGCAACCGGCCGTCGACGTCTTCGCGACGGCCCTCCTCGGTAACAGTGAATACAAAAAGGTTCACTTCCTGCGGCAGTTTCACCGGCGGGAAGCGCCGCCTTCGGGGTGTCTCGACGTGACAACAGGAAATAATAGGACGGCAACCCGAGACCTGTCACCGTATCCAGCGAGAGAGACTAATGTACCAGGTGGAAGAGAGCACAGCAGGCCTTTGTAAAGTGATCCCACATCTAACAGTCCAGAGACAGCAGCAACCTGGGGGGGGAAACATCTCAGATAACATCTTACAAGAAAGACGCATCCTAGAGCAGCAACGGTATTTAAAGGAAACATCATGCACACCTGGGTAAACCAGTTACAACAGCCACAGTGAAGTTTGACAGCAGAGGGTTTTTTTTATAGTTATGTCAAATAAAATTGTCAAGACAACCGTGTTTTCAGTATCAGTTCCTCAAAATCAAAGACCGAGACCTCCTCTCTAGTCTTGCCATCTCTCTCAGCAGGAACACGTCCATTATTAAATGTGCAGACAATAAAAACGTCACCGCCTGCAGCCCCAACAGACCAAATGCAAAGCGGCTACAAGAAATGTCGACGGAGTTATTCAACCTGGAAATCGCTCTCTTTCTCTCCGTCTTATTGCGACAAGTACTGCTACGTTCTCAGAACATGAAAAGCATGAAAACTATCAAACAACCATTTAAGTTCACTGGTTTCTGCTACTAAATTGCAAACATTTTCAGATTTCTTTGTCTTTATGACAGTAAACTGAAGATCCCGGGTTGACGTGAGGAGAGCGTGGAGGTCAGAAACGAGCACAGATACATTAAAGTGACCGACATGATGAACAGCGAGACATTGCGTGTGATGGAAAGAGAAAGGAAGGTCTGAGGGGCAACAGAGAGGAGGTGTTTTTTGGGAGAGCGGGGCATGAGATGGGGACAAAGGGGCAGTAAGAGAGGAGGAGAAAAGAGGGGCGGGACGGCTCCAGCAGCCACTGCATTCCGACACGTCACATTCCTGTTCACATCTGGCTGCAATACACACTCTGCTTGTTACCGACTATCCCTCGCTCCCTTTTCACGGACACATAAAATCTGAAGGTCTGTGACTGGCATGTGTACAAACAAACAAACAGAGAAACGCATCAAACCCGTGCACGTGACGGGCAACATTCCAATGTATTCAGAAACTTGAAACTCCGAAAGTCTATCGGTCGAATCTTCTCCTTGTTCTCCGGCAGAGCTGCAGCGGTGACACGGTCGGCTCCCTCGGTGACTCAGCACTGTTACATGTTCCCATGAGCTTCCTCCCTCAAAGGGGAAACCTGATCCCCATATTTACAGGCACACACACACACACACACACACACAGAGGAACAGGAAGTACAGAGAAGACTAAATCTGAAGATGTGTGTGGTCCGTCTGGAAGCGTGCACGTCTCTCTGGAGAGAGAGGGAAGCATGGGGTTGGGGGGGGGGTGGAGCTGAGACGTTGAGAGACAGGTGGACGGGCCGACGGACACAGACTGAGTGTCTCCGCCCGGGGCAGTGCACTGGCAGGTGGGAGCGTCCGTCAAAAACGCGAGTGCTGCCGTGGAGCGGGGGCACAATGTAGTCTGAAAAGTGGCTGGCGTGCTTGCTTGGAGTGTGTGTGCGTGTGTGTGCGTGCGTGTGTTTGCTTACTGTCAAAGTGGTCGTGCCGCTGTCTGAAGGTAGATTGTAGGTTGGTGCTAAGCCTGGAGACGGGAGCTTTGATCTCCGTGTGGCTCTGCTGGCTCAGCTTCTCCTCCATCTCCAGCGTGCAGCAGGAGAAACCCTGCGGACACACTTTCAACGGGGCTCCTGGAAGACACGAGGAGAACACACACACATTAGACACAGGAAGCTGTCAACACAAGTCACGTCAACACAGAATCAGACCAAGACCAAACCTGTTTCCAGCAGTAGGCCTCGAAAAAGGTGATTCCATTTAAACGATATACTTTAAGATCCATTCACAATCTTCACACCCGCAGAGTGGCTGTTAGCGCGAGCGAGGTTATCAATCAACCGAGCCGACGTTAGTGCATATTTGACTTGTTTGAAACACAGAAGCGTATCGATCATTAACACCATTCCTTGCTTTTTGTCTGGGATGAAACCTTTTCCGCTGCCGAGTAACAACTTCACCCCCTCACCAAATCAAAACGCACCTTGGCTGTGAAAACCCCCTAACTGCACTTAAGTGGATTAATTGCAACACTCAGCCCAGAGCAGTCTTTAGCCAGCCACTTTATAGAGCGCTGCTCTTATCCTGGCACTTCCCCGTCCTGATTGATAGTTCGGTGCTGCAGCGCTCTGAGTGCTGCGTCCTTCTAAAACACAGACTTTTAAGAGGAGAGGATTAGCTCTTCGCCCACTTTGCTGGTAAGCAGGCTGACTGCAGCCATGTGAACATGGAGGCAGGTAGATGTTTGTGTAAAGGATTTTCTTCTCTTTCTTTGCGTCCACGCAGGGCTGCGTTTTTAGAAGCTGTTTTAGAAGTCTGCTGTATCATTAAGCACATTCTCCATGATTTCCATGTGACCTCAGATGTCTGACTCTCTCTCTCTCTCTCTCTTTTCTTTGAATGCTTACTTTGTAAACAAACACTTTGGAAACAGCAGAGAGCCACCTGCTGGAAACAGTGTAAAGCTGAAGGCTTAAGTGTCCCTCGCATGCCAGAGAGGAGAGCTGTGAAGTGTTTTTCTTCAGCGTAGCCGGACAAATGTTCTGAAAAGGCTCGCGTAGACAGAGAACTTGTAACTGTTTAAAACATTCTCAAACACGTCTGCATTCTTGGACCGAGCCGAATGAACTCAACCCGACCTGCTCGGAGCTTTTACTGAGCTGATGTATCTAAATACGCTCTTTGGTAAAACAGCAAACGGCTAAACTTTGTCAAAAGTGAGTTTTAACGTCCAATTAGAAAAAGGAGGGTCAGGGGAGGACGAATGCAAAGTCGCAGCTGCAATAATGTTTTGTTTTAAAGGTGGCTGGAGGAATTTGGGAGAACACAGGGATCCTTTCACTGCCTGCAGGAACCGGTGGCCTGTTTGGTTTTCCCCACCAGCTCGTGCTCACTGACTCCAGGCCTGTGCGCAGGTTACTGCTACTAGAGCAGCTAATAGCACACACACGGACTGGAGCTTTAAGATCACCTGAGATGTTTTCCAGCGTTTATTCATCCCAGACTAATTGAGCCTTAAGAGATCGTGCCGACTTTCCACATAGTGTGTGTGTGTGTGCAGTGAAACGCATCAGCGTTTAGAAACTCCTATGATCGCCATCAATAACCGTGACTTTCTTCCTGCTCTCTTTCTTTAATTTGTTCCATCCTTATTGTCTTCCGTGAATTGTTTGGTTTAGACAAATAAATCCAAGCAGCTTTCTCCCCGTGACAACAAAAGACAGGAAGTACCTCTCATCCCAACGACAGGCGTGGACATGCGTTCTATTGGTGAGAGGATTTTGGTAAAGCTCACTTCCTGCTTCGTGAGCATTAACCGTGAACCAACTCTCTGTTCCATTGCTTTTTATTGCTGGGTTTTTGGTTACGGTTGCTGCAGTTCCTCTGCTTTGGTCGTCAGTATTCGACTGTTACCGTCACTGCTGGTAGCCATGTTTAATATGTCGCCATGACAACCTGAGCCACGTGGATCCGTTCCTCTCGGACATCTTGAGGTCGTTTTCGTTCTTTCAGTGCACGTAATAGAAACGCCCCTCGACCTCCATTAGAAAAACAGGACCTGGCTTTGATGACTTATTAACCCATGTATACCTTTAGATAGATGTTTAGATCAAGCTTCCTGTAGCTGTAAGAGTCTGACGAAGCCAATCACAACCCAGACAGTTCAACTGAAGAACACGACAGGTTTGCTTCTTTAGAATAGTAGCTTAAATGATCAAACTGCAGCGTCAGAAGTGACTCACAGCAACACAATGATGTAAACAGGGCACCAGAGGGAGGGATGCACCCTGGCGCCATAAACTGGACCCCTGCGTCTGGGATCAAGTCCAAATAAGCGCGCTCTCTCTCTCTCTCTCTCTCTCTCTCTCTCTCCCTCCCTCTCCCTCTCATACACACACACACACACACACACACACACACACACACACACAGTTGTGTGAAAAAGTGTTTGCCCCCTTCCTGATTTCTTATTTTTTTTGCATGTTTGTCACACTTAAATGTTTCAGATCATCAAACAAATTTAAATATTAGACAAAGATAACACATAAAATGGCCCACTCATCTTTGCAGAATTGTTGTAATTCAGCCACATTGGAGGGTTTTCGAGCATGAACCACCTTTTTAAGGTCATGCCACAGCATCTCAATCGGATTCAGGTCGGGACTTTGACTAGGCCACTCCAAAGTCTTCATTTTGTTTTTCTTAAGCCATTCAGAGGTGGACTTGCTGGTGTGTTTTGGATCATTGTCCTGCTGCAGAACCCAAGTGCGCTTCAGCTTGAGGTCACGAACAGATTTTTTGTTAGACAGCAGAATTCATGGTTTCATTTACCACAGCAAGTCTTCCAGGTCCTGAAGCAGCAAAACTGCCCCAGACCACCACACTACCACCACCATATTTTACTGTTGGTGTGATGTTCCTTTTCTGAAATGCCGTGTTACTTTCACGCCAGATGTAATGGGACATACACCTTCCAAAAAGTTCAACTTTTGTCTCGTCAGTCCACAGAGTATTTTCCCAAAAGTCTTGGGGATCATCAAGATGTTTTCTGGCAAAACTGAGACGAGCCTTTATGTTCTTTTTGCTCAGCAGTGGTTTTCGTCTTGGAACTCTGCCATGCAGGCCATTTTTGCCCAGTCTCTTTCTTATGGTGGAGTCATGAACACTGACCTTAATTGAGGCAAGTGAGGCCTGCAGTTCTTTGGATCTTGTTCTGGGGTCTTTTGTGACCTCTTGGATGAGTCGTCGCTGCGCTCTTGGGGTAATTTTGGTCGGCCGGCCACTCCTGGGAAGGTTCACCACTGTTCCATGTTTTCGCCATTTGTGGATAATGGCTCTCACTGTGGTTCGCTGGAGTCCCAAAGCTTTAGAAATGGCTTTGTAACCTTTTCCAGACTGATAGATCTCAATTACTTTGTTTCTCATTTGTTCCTGAATTTCTTTGGATCGCAGCATGATGTCTAGCTTTTGAGGATCTTTTGGTCTACCTCACTTTGTCAGGCAGGTCCTATTTAAGTGATTTCTTGATTGAGAACAGGTGTGGCAGTAATCAGGCCTGGGTGTGGCTAGAGAAATTGAACTCAGCTTTCCAAAGATGTGATAAACCACAGTTAATTTATGTTTTAACAGGGGGGGGCAATCACTTTTTCACACAGGGCCATGTAGGTTTGGATTTTTTTTTTCCCTGAATAATAAAAACCTTAATTTAAAAACTGCATTTTGTGTTTACTTGTGTTATCTTTGTCTAATATTTAAATTTGTTTGATGATCTGAAACATTTAAGTGTGACAAACATGCAAAAAAATAAGAACACTTTTTCACACAACTGTATACCCAGGCACAGTTGGCAGACCCTACCCAAACATATTCACACATCACATCACTGCTCAACACATGGCTCTTTGTACAGGCATGATTGGAGGAGCGTGCGCACACGCACTCGCACTCACACACGCACACACAGGACTTTTAGGTGAGACAGCCATCCAGTCTCTCCTCCAGCGGGGCCCCCTGCTTGCCCACAGCACAGGCGTACAATCAAAAGGGCTATATCCACATGGAAAATAGCCCCAGTTACCAAAGTACACAAATAAAAGTGAGATGGTCAATATTTCACAGAAACGTCTGCACAAATGTCACATTGTTAGCTCAAAGGATTAAGTCTCTGAAAACTGAAGATTCTTAGCTAACGCATACTTTGTGAAAACATCCTGGCAGCCAATTTCTCAAACCACCGGGAGGAAAAAAACCGGCCCTGCTGGAACACAAGGGAGCGAACAGTTAACGGGAACAGTTCGATCCTATAAAACTCCACATCACACGTTGCACACGTTGTGTGCAACGTGTTACCGCCTCACTATTTCACAATGAGCCCGGTCAGTGCGTCAGTCATTTCTCCACCGTGAATAGTCTTTGTGTGGCGGCTGAACTGGCTCTCGGTTGCCGTACGGAGCTCCTTAAAAAAAGTGCTGGCAGTGGTGGTGGTGTGGGGGGGCTGTCACCCCTCCAGCTTGCAGAGCACTTTTAAGATGCAACAAGACGCAGAGACAGAGCCCTGTTCAAGTGTCGGCTCAGGAGAGGGAAACTGCCATTTATGGTGGTCAAAACAAGAGTGCAGCATCTTGTAAACAAACATCTGACTGTGTGTCATGGCTTTCATCAGCTCCCCGCCGCCTCCCTGCCTTCCCTTTGTGGGGAGACCACCATCCCCTTTTTAAATGGCTCATAAAATAAGTCACTTCCCTCTGACATTGTCCTGCCTCTCAAACTCTGTTCTCAGAGGAAGGATGGTGGGGGAGGTGAAAACGCCTCACAGACAAAAACCAGATTAGACACCTCACCGCCCCCTCTGCCTGCCATCATGTGCCCCTGAACCAGACGGACCTCAGGGTGCCCCCCCCCCCCCCCCCCCC